AAAAAAAAAAAAAGTCAAAGATTAAAAGATTAAGCCTTGCTGACGCTACGGTGAGACCCCTGTAATAATTAAACGGCATACCAAACATCTACTGACCAATGTGGCACCGAATCATGAACAGTCTCTCAACTCCTCCTTCATGGAATGCTTTCAGAATAGTCTGCTTGACGTCGAGATCGATCCGCATCCGCATGGTACTCACTCGTTCCGACGCGGCTGGTGCCAGTACCGCTTGCACTATATTGGTCGTTCCGTCGAATTTGTGATTAGGCAGGATGGTCAGGCAATTTTGACAACTCCAGAACCGTATCCAAATACCTGCTGTCAGGGAACGACAAGCTGCTCCTTGACTGGTAAGATTTCTTCAATCTGAGTCATGCTCTGCGCGTACAGTCAAGGTGACCAGCCTAAAGACATACATACATTTATCGTAGCGGGAAAGCCGTGGTGGGGTGTAAGCACATTACAAAACGCGTATTTGCCAGTGATCAGCGGTCAAGTTGATGATTGCCAACTGGCGCGAGCGACGGGCCCTTTTCAGCCCGAGTGGGATGCTTCAGCGAGCACCCACACCGTCACTCGATCAGCCAGTGGACCAGATGTACTATTACCTTCTAGCTGCGCTCGGCATCTGGACATCGATTTGAAGTAGGGGATCATCGGGAGCTAGAATAGATATGCGTTAAATCCGTAAAAACTAAGGTATGGATTCGGTCCTTCAGGTTCTCATCAGACTGTAGGCATGTTCAACAGCGAATATCTACAACCCTATAAGCGTACGGGGAATGCATATTTTACCCTCTTTCACCCAAGTCCAAGTTGGACTGAACACCTCACCCCCACAGTAGACGTCGCAGAGTACAACTTTAAACCCACCATACAATTGCGCAGGTCAACGACCTATCTAGCAGATTACACACAACTCTATAGACAACATGATTACGGCCAGCAGCCAGGCTAGTGGCAGGATCTATCAACAGCCTCCCATACAATAATGGAAGGAATGCCCAACGTGGCAGATGCCCAAGACCACACTTGAAGGGTCAGGTAGCGATTGCGCAAGGCGAAGAGTCCGCGAAGGGAGGAAGCTTTACCAGCGATCATTCCTTCCACCATAGCCATTATCATGACCACCATACCTGCCACCGCCGCCGCCACCGCCACCGCCTCCACCGCGACCACGCCCTCCGCCGCCGCCGCCATATCGGCCTAGAAACGAGTTAGAATGATAAGACAATCAAATTATGGATACATACTACGACCGCCACCACCGCCGCCATACATGGCCATCTCCTCTAATTGAGGAGGAACAATAGCTTTTGCCTCGCGAAGAATACTAATCAACTCCCGCGCGGACTTGGCATTGTCGGTAGTGAAGTAAGTATACGAAGTTCCCTTCATACCGGCACGCTACAAACCGACAGTAAGCCACTTAAACCGCCACAGAACATGATAGTTCTGCTTACTCCTGTACGACCAATACGATGGATGTAGTCTTCGCAGTTGTTGGGGAAGTCATAGTTCTACATAGAGGAGCGTCAGTGAAACCCAGGTGGAGCAGAACAAAACACATACAATGACATATCCAACATCCTTCACGTCTGTGCGTGAAATGGGCCAGCATACCAAGATGCGACACAAACCAAGAGACCACGCACAAGTCGTCCAATGTAGCACAAGAGGACATGAAACAGACAAGAGCACAGTCAGAAACAACAGGACAACAACGCAGATCACAAGCGCTCGACAGCAACGACCACATCGCGTCCGGAAGTAACCCCAACCCACAGTACTACTACCTGAGGGACATGTCCGAGCTAGAAGACAGGCAAGTCTTGTACACGCAAAGCGAGGAGTTCCAGGAGAGTGTTGCTAGTGTCCATGACCAATACCATATTCAAGAACCCAGAGTGTTCGTGAAGTTTCCGAGAATCCGCGCAATCGTAAAGAAGCGAACGCGGATCCACGGTGGAAAGGTCAGAGGGCGCAGCACCAAGTCCGGAAGCCGACCGTCAAGCTTCTCAATGCGCGTTGTTCATCTTGGCCTGTCTTGCTCACTGTGGACCTGTGGAAACATGCCTAGGCTACGTAGCCTGGCACACATATCACACACGACACTCGCCAACGTTCGTGGTATGCTGCAAACTAATCGTAGCGCTTGCATAAGATGAAAACATACCGAGACCACGCGACGCCACATCCGTAGCAATCAGAATGGGTGAGCGCCCAGCCTTGAATTCGCTCAGCACCCAATCGCGTTCACGTCTAAAATACAGCGCAATGAGCAGAATTCCGTAAACGTAAAGCAAACAGCTTACTGTTCTTTGTCACCGTGGATGGCCAACGCCGGCCATCCGTCTTGCCGAAGGTACTTGGTAATGTCGTCTGCCACTCGTTTGGTGCCTACAAAGATCAAAACCTTGGCGTTCTCCTGGCTGATTTGGTCCAGATGCTTGATCAATTTAGAACGCTTCTCGAAATCACTGCAAACTTCAACGATCTGCGCGATATTGTGGTTGGCAGTGAGTTCCATCGATCCAATGTTAACCTGAATAAAGTCTTTCAGGAAATCCTATACAAAAATCAGCTGTAATCATCATCAAGAAATAGCGGACGCACATTGGCAAGCTTTTGAACATCCTTTGGCCAGGTGGCGCTGAACATCAGAGTCTGCCTGTCGGGACGAATTTGACCGACAATTTTCCTGATCTGAGGCTCGAAACCCATATCCAACATGCGATCGGCCTCGTCCATGACTAGATATGTCACACGTCGCAGATTCGTCTTTTGCGTCTCAAGCATATCGATGAGTCGCCCCGGGGTTGCAATCACAATCTCGACACCTCGTTGCAGATCGCGGATCTGAGGACCCTTGGGAGCACCACCGTAGATAGCGGTGTTGCGAATCTTCGAGTTCGACCTATCTCAGCGATTAGTCAAGATGTGTAGAAGACAGGTTCAGCACCCACCCGAATTTCGTGCACTCCTGCTGAATTTGTACAGCAAGCTCACGCGTAGGTGCTAATATCAAGGCAATAGGCCCATCACCAGACGCCAGTAACGGTTGGCTGCATGACCGAACGTGAGAAAAATGACAACAGAATATTTGAGACGACCTACGCATTGATGTGCAGCATGGCAGGAAGGGCAAAAGAAATGGTCTTCCCACTACCGGTCTGAGCGATGGCAACGACGTCTCTGCCCGAGAGTGCCATAGGCCACGCCTGACACTGAATCGGTGTAGGAGCGGGGAAGCCCTGTGCTCGAATAGTCGACATAATGTACTCAGGGAAACCAAGCTCATCAAAAGAGGAAACGGGCCTAGGAACACTCCTGCCTTGAACCTGTGAACCATGAGTCAAAACACTTGAGAGCGGAGTATGATAACCTACTTTCATCTCCTTAGTTCGTCTGAACTCCTCGACTTCTCTGTCGCTGAGGGCAGCTACCCGCTTGTCCTCGATGTAGAAGTTTTTCTCGAATCGCTCAAGCTTGTGCGCACTCCAATCAACGGTGCGCAAGCCGCTCCCCAAATGACCCATTCTATCTTCGCCGCCACCCCAGCCTCCTCCACCAGAATATCCTCCTCCGCCAAAGCCACCACCATAACCACCACCTCCGCCTCCACCGTAACTACCGCCGCCGCCATAGCCACCACTGCCACCGTAGCTCTAAAAAGCGAACATCAGTACAATAACAACCAACAACGCCAATGGGGCACACCATGTCGTATCTATGGGATGAAATGGTCTGAAAATGGGTATTCGAGGTCGAAACCGCACAAGGCGAGATGAGGGCGAAAGAGAAAATGCGCGATCCGGGATAGCGCGCTGGTTTTATAAGCCATGCGGACTCCGTGCACCGCTTGTGGTGGCACGGCAGATTGCCCAAAGACCCCAAGAATCGCCCGATGTAAGCGCTCGTGGTATCCCCCGGTATAAAGTGGGGTATGGCAAATATCGATATGATACACATGCAATGTACATACAGATATACAATGGAGAGCAACGACAGCATTGGACTACAATACATACAGTTTCTGCAACAAAAATCCGTTTGATTCATGCGATGGACGCCAGCTGCGCGACGACCGTGTTAGAAAGTAATTGAGGAAAATCGAGAACGAGTGGGACGATAGCAAGAATGGGAGTATGCAGAGCAAGTTGCGAGGGTATTTCACATGATCAAACACTGATCTCTTTTCCTATGGCGGTGTGCATCGGCCGGGTATCGGTTTCGCATTTGTCGTACAAGGTCTTCGAATACTTCCGCTACATGCCAGTTGCGTTTAGCAGAAGTTTCGTAGAATGGCAGTTTCCATCGTTCGGCATACGCTTGAATCGTCGCTCTGGATACTTGCCGCTCGCTGGTCTGCAGAAAACCTGTGAGTGATAGAATAAAAACAGCACACGGGATGTCTGACCAGGTCCAGCTTGGTACCAACGACAACGATGGGGACATTCTGGGTGGAAGGAATGTCAGGATATGTGGAAATAATGATACAACGCGGACAACGTACGCCATCTGTGCCTTTGGCCTGGTATATTTGCTGCCTGACTACATCGAGTTCTCTGAGGCTAGATTCTTCTGTGAGGCTGCATCGTGCATAATTAGTTCGAGATCAGCGGCTGTTGTGAGACAGAATGTACCTGAAGACGAGAAGAAACCCGCTTCCATTCTGCCATGATGGGACGAAGGGATCATAGATGAGCAGGTTTGCGATGAAATTCACGGGGCGAGGCTAAGAACACCTTCAGATAGCGCTCGTTTAACGCCGTAAACTGCTCGACCCCGGGCGTATCCACAATGTCAATCTTGATAGCAAGACCTGAGAACGAGGCATGCTTCTGTGAAGAGAGCAAGCACATACTTTGAAGTGTTCGCCATCTACGATGAGATTACAGTGGTACTCGTCTGCGGAACGGATGTGAGTTCGTGAAGGAGGTGCGGACGTGCGACGGACCTTCGATTGTAGGGTCGTACCGCTCGATGAACTCGTCGCGGCCGAAGCGTATTGTAAGAGCGGACTTGCCGACTCCTCCAGCTACGGACGGGTAAGAGGTGGGAGAGTGAGTGCGAGCAGGACGCGTGCGCACCTCCGAGGACGACCGTGTTGAATCTTCTTGGGCGCCGCATAGGCGAGGGGCTTCCCAGCCGGGTAAGTAGAGACACGAGCGCGCGACGGGGAGGCTGGGAGGAGTAGGGGGAGTTATATGAGGTGTGCCACGGCCAGGGAACGCAGCAGTCCTCACCTGGGCCATCTGCATCAGCCGCTATCTGCCTGCCTCCCTGTTGTTCCGATATCACTGCGAGCAGAGCGGACCTCGCCTCGCTGCAACCGCGGACTTGCCGGTCTTATCGCCGACTCTCGCCACCGCCACCAACACTCTCCAGTAGCGCCTAGCACGCCCGAAGGCTGCCACTCACCACCAGGCATGGTCCGTCCCAGGGTCTTTTTCGACATTGCCATCGACGGCTCCCCCGTTGGAAGGTCTGCCGGGTCTCACTTCTGTCCTCGTGTATCTCATGTCTGATGCAGTCTGGCAGGGTGATCTTCGAGCTCTTCAGCGACACCGCACCAAAAACATGCGAAAAGTGGGTATGCATCTGATACCCTCTTCTATCGATGGCTTTCCCTGCTGATCCCCTGGTGCACACAGCTTCCGTGCGTTGTGCACCGGCGAAAAGGGCCTCTCGGCTCTCTCCCAGCGGCCGCTCTACTACAAGGATAGCATCATACACCGCTCCATTAAGGGTTTCATGATCCAGGGAGGAGGTACGCAGTGACCAACTGCCCATCTTGATCACTGCTCATATCGTCTATGCACGTGCAGACTTTACTAAACGTAATGGCACGGGGGGCGAGTCCATCTACGGAGGAACCTTTGCCGACGAAGACCTCACACGAGCCCTTGACTCAGAAGGGTAAGCGTATTCGCTCTCACTTCCCGGATCACACATTCTCACTGTTTTAGGCTCCTATGTATGGCCAACAAGGGGCCCAATACTAATGGCTCCCAATTCTTCGTTACCCTCCGCGAATGCCCCCACCTAAACGGTAGATCCCATTTCGCCATCCCTTACTCGACCGACTCGCTGATCTCACTCAGGTAAACACGTCGTTTTCGGTCGCGTATTGCGTGGCTACGCCGAGGTTGTAGAGAAGATTGTAGATGTCCCTGTTGACGAGAAGGACCGCCCCAGTGTACCCGTGACGATTGGTAACTGCGGCGAGCTCGTCCTTCGCGCCAAACCTGTATCACAACAACCACAGCTGGAAGGTATGCCCTTCTTCTCTTCTCCCGCCTGATGACACGTGGGCTCATTTGCACGAACTTGGGCACGGCGAAAGCTGTGGGCTCAGACAGCGAGAGCGATCGCTCGGAAAACGACGACAAGCGGCGCTCGCGCAAGAAGCGCAGGCGCCACCGCTCTGAAAGCCGCGACAGTGATCCAGATGCGTCTGGCGACGACGCGCGTGAACGGCAACATCGCAAGAAGAGCAAGCGCAAGTCGAAGTTGAAGAACAAGAGTGAGCGCACTGGCGCACGCTCCTCTCCGCGTGCAGATGGAGACCAGAATCAGCCACAATCGCACGCAGAACCTGAGGAAGAGACGGAAGAACAGTATGATGCGCGGTTAGAGCGAGAGGAGAACGAAAGATTGGAAGCGGCAAGGAAGAAAGAATTGGAGCGGTTGAGGCGGAAGCTGGAACATGAAAATGCCCCCTCTACAAATGGCGTCAGATTCAAGGGTGAGTACAGTTTTGGACACAACGACCAATCTATTTGTTGCATGCGGTATTGATTTTGTCATCGTAGGTCGTGGGCGCATGAAGTATGTTGATCCTGAAATGCGCGCACACCGTGACGATTAATGCAGGGGATTCTCAAGGAGATCTGTCTGTTAGAGGCGGGCATTCCTCAGACGTCTGCCTCTTCTGACTGAATGTCTTGGTGAGCGAAGTTTTGGGATTTATGCAGTCCTGGGCATAGTTGCGTATGCACACTCAACGTATGTATAATGGTCATGGAATCGAGAACATGGGGGCTAAATACACATGTATTCCGTGAGCATCAACTGCGCGCGAGAGCATTTATCAATACATCTTGGAAGCGAACATCGAAATCCCGTTTATCATACATTTATTTCTCTGCAAGTTCGCGTCAGAAGCGCTAGTGGCCACGAGAACGGACAAAACACGCACTTGGCCCCAACTTCAACCACTTCGGAACTTTCTTCTCTGTCGATGGCGCAGGATTAGATGCAGCAGAGGGAATATTTGACGAAGGTGCCGATGATAGTGATGATGATGACGACGATGTGATATCCGGGTCGAAATTAGGCGGCGTCGGCAAGTCCTCTGCCCTCGCCAGTATTGACTCATCCAGCGGTGCCGGAACATCCGTGTCTGCTACTTCATAAGCACCACCCGCAGCAATGCTTTGCAAAGATAGCACGCACGGTTCAATGCATCGTCCAGGAAGTTCAATAACAATACAGACGACGGGGAGAGCTGCAACTCCGTGAGCGACAAGTCGCGGACCTCAGGGTCGGATACCTTGAATTCACGCTTTGGCGGCGTCTGGTCTTCCTCATCGCGCCGTGCTCTCAGCTGCATGTCCAATGACAAAAATGGGATCAACTACGCACATAATACGAATTTGATCGGCTTCACATCTTCCCGCAGCGAGTTCCGTACAAAGGCATAAACCGAGCGGATTTTGTCCGTAGATGGAAAGACCTTCTCGAGCTGGCTGCGATCGCTGAACTTGACACGGATCGTGGTCTATACGGAGCTGAGTGGAAATAACTGTCTATTGCAACAGGAAGGACGTACTGTTGGCCATCGAGCCCGTTTCGCCTTCTCCTCCGCGTCCCGCATTGCCTGTGTCCGTAGTGGTGCATTGACTAGAGCCTGCGTCCGCGCCGACAAGGACGCTTGCGCGGCCTTCAAGTCTGCGGTGCTTGGTTGGAAATAGGAATCAGGAAGCTCTCCTGAACATTGTTATCAGATAGGTTGATCAGCGCAGACAAAGCGCGAGGACTATGAGCGACCTCATTCACACAGAAGATAGAGACGTACATACTCCGTGTAGAAGTGGATTGCGGCGGTCTATAATATCGAAGCACGGGTAGTTCACCTGAAGCAGCCGGCGCACTCGTTCGAACAGCCTCCGCGGCCGGTAGAGATTCATGGGTCGACATGTTGGTGACTGAGAGGTGCAGAGATGATGGTTCTATAGTTTGAGTATGCAGGTGCTTGGTGGTCCGCTCTAAGGCGCTCACTGTGCAGCAGGCTTAGCTAAGGGAACGAAACGCGAACAATCTCGAATTGACCGGTATATAATGAGATATACAGCACAAAATTTATCCACCAGTGACCACCCTGTCCTCCTAACTGTTGACAGAGGATTTGTTGCCTCAGATCCGGATGCTGCACAATGTGAATAAGTGAAATACTTTAGGATACTTGAACCGGAACTAAAATCAGGAAGTAGATAGTTGTCTCATGTCCTCGATCCCAGGGCTTGCCGGCGAGCGAGCCCCTTTGTTATGGGATCAACGACGGTCGAACGCAAATTACAAGAGTATGCATCATTCCATGAAAGAGATATCTAGTATTACTCACCAGAAACGGCGTGGAGAAATTGGTACTGGAATGTTGGCAAAATGTAAGTTGAACTGAAGGAAGTTCCCTTTTCAAGCGATCGCGTTGTTGACTACTATTTGTGTCCGGTGGCTGCAGCGAATGCTCCATGAAAGTGGCGCAAAGGCAAGGACTCGGAACTCACTCTATCTTCTTTTCCAACAACCATGTCGCACGACCATTCGCATGATAGCTGCGGTGGCGGGTCGCACGACCATGATCATCATCACGATATCCCAGAAGATCAAGGTTACCGTGATAACCTCTATACTCGAATTGATCGGGCGAATGTAGTGGCGCTGAATGTCGAAGCCCCAGGAAAAGGCCCCGAGGTTATAAAGCCCTGGAATGAACGGCTTGACGAACAAATTGTAAGTTGTATGCTTTCTCTGTTTTACGAGAAATTGCATGCAAGCCCGTAATACTTATTGATCATTATTCGCGCAGTACCTCGAGTCGGATGCCGATGATCAGATGTAAGCTGCTTCGAGCGCGTTCCCGAGGGAGATTATTTGAACGTTCGACAGAATAATACGTGTTCCGTTCACCGGCTCCGTCAAGCTGCGCGCCGTCCTTCTCAAAGCCGGTCCGGGTGATCAAACGCCAGCCAATGTCGCCATAGTAAGTATGGCTGCTTAACTAGGGCAATCCATACTAAGGCCTATTTCCCGCTAGTTTAGCAACATTGATCATATGGATTTTTCCGACATCTCCGACCGTAAACCGGTTCAAGAGTTTACCGTGGCGCAAGGTAGAGAGGTAGGAGAATATCATGTCCTGTACGTTGCTTCTCCGATATTCCGGATGTTGGAGGTAAGTGTGTAGATCGACCAATGTGACCGCTGTTTTCAGGCCCGCAAAATTCCCAAATGTTACATCCCTAACACTCTTCTTCCCTGCGTCGCAAGGAGCTGATACAACACGAATATATTATGTCGGCTTCCTGGGTCAGTTCACTGAGGTGCGTGAAACTTTATTTAAAACCTCAGCATCAGTGTATCGATTCTTTTAAATAGCGCAAAAATGAGCCCGTCATTACAGTTTACGAGGCACAAGCCAACCTTGCCGATCACGAGAAAATTCAAGGCATGGACGGTAATCTCAGCATGCCACAGCCGTGATAATTGGAGGGATATTAACGTATTGTATACCGCAAGAAGGCCAAGTGCAGATGGATTCAATGTCATAACCATGTATTATATATCACAAGTGTAGCTTCAAATGACGTCAGATATGCACACTCGAGTGAACACTGTCGCGCAAGCACACTCATCTAGTCATCTAGTCATCCGGGATTTCACATAGTAGCATAACAATATAATGACCACACCAGGCATAACACATGGAGCTCATTCATCCCGAACACAATTCTTTCTGTCACAGCATGATCAACCCATCCTTCAACCCTATCCACTCTAGCTATCTACTTCTTCCCTTCGAATCCCTCTACCACCCACGAAGCCGACAGGGATGCACCCGATATTGACGCCGATGGGAGCGAAGAGCTTGAAGTCAGTGGGACAGGAAGCGGGTTTGGTGTCCGCGCGGACGAGGGACTGACATCAGGCAACGCTCCCCAATTAAATCTTGTTGCCGGACTAGGGCTTGGAGAGCTTTGTAGCGGGACAGGAAGCTTGCTCATCGTCTGCGTTGACGATGGGCTAACATTAGGTAACGGTCCCCAATCAAAATTTGCCGCCGCACTAGGGCTTGGGGAGGTCTTCTTAAGCGGGACTGCCTTTGCGTGGTACCTTCCTCCCGATCTATGTCTTGAGCCCGTCCCAGGAGAGTGAGATGTGTCATCATCGAAATCGGGCGTAGGAGTCGCGGGAGTTGCAGGAGTCGTAGGAATCGAAGGTGCCTTGGCCATTTCCGGAGTTGACGGCATTGATTTCCGTGGAATAGAGAACGACAACTGAGGTGACGCAGGGGCTTCTTCTTTCACCATGTTTGGTATAATCCCGCGGGAAGTCGACAAAGGCTCAGGCGTAGGTACAGCCGGTGTTGCGGAAACGGCTTGAGTGTTCAGGAGCGGTTCCTTGCGCGCCTGCAGCAGAGCTCGCTTGAGCTTATGTGCCGACATCTCTGCGTTGAGAGCAGCTGCTGTTGATCTAGCGAAATGGGGCGTCACCTCCGACGAACGAGCATTCTCCCGCTCAGTTGTATCCCTGTCTTTTGAAGGCGTACTTCGTGCAGACCTCATGCTGAGCCTAGCAGCTCGCGCGGTTAATTGTGCGACTTCGTCCTCATGCTGATCAATAGCACCGTCGATGTTACGATAGATTCTGTTGATGGTATCCAGCGACGGGGCCCTATGACCAATGCGTTATAGCATTATACATGTTAGAATCAAAGCTCACATACTTCAATTCCGGCTTTCCCGCCCTCATAAGCTTGGCCTTCTTCTTAGATGCCTGTATGTGGTCCTCAAGCTGTCTAAGTCTGTCGCGCAAAACCTGCCGTAGGAGATTGATACCTTCACAACACGAAAGACGCTGCTCATATAAAATGACGCACCCGAATGTCCCTTCGTAATTGACTCTGAGCTTCCAGGTGCTCAGGGGCCAAAGTCCTCGCCTTCAGCATTCTGGCAAATCCTGCGTCGCTTGAAGCCTTACTAAAGCGCACTACTTCTTCTTTTCGAGCACTCGCTAATCATCGACACATGAGAGATAATAGTTGGCGGGAAGGGCGGCTCACACATACCTTTCAAGAGATGCCCTTCCAGTTCCTGAATTGATGCCTCGTAATCAGCCTTTCGACCCTTGAGACCAGCAAGTTCCTTCTCGACGACGAGCATGGCTGGTTGCAGTCGTACCAGGTCACCGATTGTCCATTTGCTCATATCCATCGGGGCAGCGTTTGTACCACTCCCGATACCAGACTTGTAAAGCAAATCCTTCTTCTGCCCAGCATCTTGGCTCACCACACGTAACTACCATCTCGTCAGTGGTATTCCGTTCATCTGGCAGAGCCTAGCGCACCTGATCCAGTTCCTTCCTAACAAGTCCGAACAAACGGAGACACTCGGCCTGCATGCCTTCCACGAGCACTGCGGCCTCAGCGATAGGCCCCTCTGCTGACTTCCCAGATACTTGTTGGGCAGCTGTAGATCTATTAGATGAGCCTTGCACAAACGCAGGTCTTGCCTGTGATCCGCTTGTCTGTGATACTGGCGACACCATACTAGGATTTCCGAATATACTCGATGGCGAGGACAAAGCCGGCGAAATGGGAGGCGCAGGCTTTGGCGAGAACGAGGAAGGCAAATTTTCACCCGTCGAAGAACTCAAAAGAGGAGCACTATTGCTCCCGATGGAAGGTGATGGCATGGATGTTTGCCCTTGTAAGCTGAAGACCGACGGAGGCGGCGTAGGGCTCGGTTTTGGAGTGAAGTTTAAAGAACCAAACGCAGGAGCCTTGCCTTTGCCTTTATCATTAGTCGACCCGACTGAAGAAGGCGTACTGGGTCCAAATGTGGACGAGAGCGGGGGAGTCTTTGGCCTCGATGTCTGTGGTTGTTCCTCGTCTCGACTCCGCTTGGATCCACTTTCAACCTGCGCAGACGTAGACACGCGTCGCCCAGTCGAAAGCTTAGGCTCGTCGTCATTGTCATCATCACCGGTTATCGGCGCACTAGCCAAAGGCGAACTTCGTGTCGGACGTGTTGACGGCCTACCAAGGCCGAGTGAAGGAAAACCGGTGGGTGTTGCAGAATTGGGCGACGGAGATGGAGACGGCAATGACGGGGAAGCGGCGCTTTTGACGGGACTAGGAGATCCTGGAGGTGTAGTACTAGGGTCTCGCGTTGGAGATGTTCCCACCTTAGTCGCTTCGCCAGGAGAGGATAAACTATCAACAGTCGTCGGTACCTTCAGAATTGTCTCGTTCGGTACTTTCTTAGTGGAATCGGCTGTAGCAACGGGAGTCACCTCTACGAGTTCGCTTTCGGACTCATCGGAGAATTCATCAGAAAGAAACTCGGCTGTATCGTCTATAAACTCTCCTTGTGGGAGAACAACTCTTGCAGTGCTCACGGCATCCTCATCTTCCTCGCCATCGTCGATTTCTGAGTCTGATTCTGACTCAGAGTCAGGTGGCGAGGCCAGGGATCCCGTCCTTACAGGCGTATTACCCTGTCTTGCGAATGCTGAGAATACAGACCCAGACGCCTCATTTTGTGATCTTGATGGAGTCTTAGGCGACCCTGAGGCTCTTGCTTTCTCGTCCTCGTCCGATTTCTGTCGCAACAAGTCTCCGAATGATATACCTGAGGCACCCGAAACGCCGAAAGCCGATTTAGAGCCACTAAACGCGGCAAACGCGCCGCTGTTCGGCGACGGACTAGGCGTAGTCAAGGTCCCCGCACCGGGGCTACCAAAGACTGACCGAGCGTTTCCTAAGGCCGAAGGTGCACCAAACGTAGGTTTCGTAGGGTCAGCCGTTGGAGATACAGTTGGCGGAGGTGAAGACCCGCCTAAGAATGCGGTTGGAGGAGGAAGCTCCTGTTTGGCCGCCTTAAAGAAGGGTGACGATGACACATCAGCTGAACCAAAAGCACCGAATCCCGCACTGATTTGACCAAAGCCGAACGGCGACGTTTGAAGCTGACCAAAGGCTCCAGATTTACTCGTCAATGGAGAAATACCGCTGGGTGCAGATGGTGTGAACGGTTTGGGGGAATCTGCCGCAGTTTGGGGTGCTTCTTTCGTAGTCTCTTTAGATGCTTCCTTAGGGAGGTCCGCAAAAGCCTTGACATTGGGCTGGCTAGCACCCGGATCAGGAGTCCTTGAAGGGGTTTGCGGCTGCTCTGCTTTCAGTGGTTCAAAGATAGACCTAGATTTTTCCTTTTCGTTCACAACACGCGCTGATTCGTCGTTTGCCCTGGATGCCCATGGAGGCTTCGCGTCTGCCTTGGGTGTCGCGCTGCCGAAGCTCACTGGACCAGCTTGGGCAAACGCACTAAACCCTCCTCCGGAAGTACTCGCTGTGCTGTTATTATCTCCCGCTTTCGCGCTCTCCGTCTCTGCTTTCCCGAAGGAGGTCTGTCCAAAAGCGGGCTGTCCAAAAGCGCTCTTTGCAGCGGCAGACTGTCCGAAGGTCGGCTGTCCGAATGCCGGTTTCCCGAAGGCAGGCTGTCCAAATGCAGGCTGTCCAAAGGAAGGTGCAGATACTTGCTGTCCAAATGCCGATGGGCGCTTAGACTCTACTGCCAATGTGGATGACGATGACGAGCCAACAGCGGGCGAGAAAGCGTAGCTAGAAGGAGTTCCCAGATTTGCGAAGGCTCCAAAACCGGCAGCGGGTTTGATGTCTGAAGACATCGATGATGCGGCGGCGGCAAACGGAGAGCTTGAGCTCGGAGCACCTAGGTTGGCGAACGCGCCGAAGCCTGCGCTGGGCTTGCTGAAGCCAGACGTCCCAAAGGTGGGCGAAACACTACTCATACTCGAATGCTGAGCAGTAAACGACCCAAACACTGAAGACGTGCTGGGTGTAGGTGAGCCAGATGAAGCGTCTGTCCCACCCAAAGACAAACCACCAAATCCTGCATTGGTGGCTTCTGAATCCATGGCTTCTTCAGCGATGCTAGGAGCGCGGGCCACAGGTTCAGGACCTGGTTGGACAGTGGATAAGGGAGCCGTGGATGTATCCATACTGAAACCAGTCTGGCCAAATTTTGCTGATCCGGAAGCGAATGCCTCGAACCCACCTTTCGAAGGCGACGAGGTTGGAGTGGTAGAAAATATGGTCGGGGATGCTGCCGACGCGCCAGGCCGTACAGCAAAAATCGCCGACGACGACTCCCCTGACTGACTTCGCTGAACGGCACCGCTCACGTCGATCATCCCAGGGTAAGGTGTGCCCTGAGAGTTGACTACATGCCAACCTGTGAGAGTCCCATCGCTGGCGTAGGCATACAGTATGGGAGGTGGCGGCACGTCCACTTCTTCCCCTGAGGCCTGAGTTAGCCGGAACGGTTTGGTCGAAGTCAAATCCACATCCAGCGCGAGAAGAACAGTGTCATTCATGTCCTTGTCGAGAGGAACTGTTGGCGTTGAGGTTTCCTCCAACGACAGATTGCACCAGGTTTCGAGGGGAGACCCTAGCTCCGTGATGCTCCCAAGTAAGCCGATATCCGACGACGTGCTGTCCCCTATGAACAGTAAAAACCTTGCAGATCCCCAGTTTCGAAAATTGGCTACGAACTGCCCAGGTGGACGAAGGCCAGGGAAAGGCAGGTAGGGAGAATTGAGCTTGACATCTCCGACTTGATTCGCTTTAGAATCAAACGATACGATGTAGTGACTCTGTTCGCTATCAGGATTAAGATCACCTCTCCCGGAGAATACAGCATGGAACTCCGTGTTGGTGATCCAATCAATAGCAATAACACTTTCCTCGCCGATAGTTGCCGGCTTAGGTATCAGACTCTTCAACGAACCTGTAGCCGTAGGGCTGTAAGTCACAATGTCGCCGCTCTCGAGACCTATAGCTAACTGCTTGCCCTTCGGGGACCAGGACACTGTCGAATCCTGATTTAACATATTAATGCACGTCTACTTGAGTGATAACGTACAAGCCGTGGGTCGTGTATTCGGCGTAGAGCCAGATCTCCAGCCTCCCACCGATTTCATGTTCTGGACGTCATACACCTCGACTGGAAGTCCACTGCTTTCAGGAGAGCGGAGTACGGCCACTAGTTCCGACATGTCTCCGGGATTGGGTACAATTTGACGAATGGGCATGCTCGATGGGAAGGTATGCAGGGGCACACCAACTCCACCTGAAAGCAACAGCTGCGTATCAAATACAATGATCGAACCGTCCACAAGACATATGATCAGACGAGTATCATTATGCGCAAACATTACCGTCTGTGGAACGCCAGGCAGTGCCACATTAGTCTTTGGTGAAAAATCAGCGTCCATGTTTGTTAAGGACGCAAACGTGGAATGAAGATCCGCAAGTGGCGCAGCGATGAGTTCTAAAGACGGGTGTCATATAGTGGCTACTGTTAACAAATGATCTCAGTAGACAATATGTAGACTTGCCATACGAGCCATTTGCTCCTCGGACTGTAGCTGCGAAGCACCCCTTGCTATTAGCAACAGCGAACAGCCGCCCTTGTCCAGGAAGAGCATCAAGATCGAGAGGCTGAGGGGATAAGCGCACTCGAGCGCGTTTGTTGAGCAGACGAAGGACCAAGAACTGTTCACAAAAGAATATCATTATCTTAAATGACCGAAGGGAGGTGCAGATGCCACGCACATCCGCATTCTTCTCAGAGGCCTCCTTCGAAACTCGCTGCATGTGCGACGGCAGTGGCGGAGGCGATTGGAGTTGCGTTACGTTCATGATGTCGTGTGTCTCAGCCAGACAAAATCCGGGGTTGTAAGGGTCTCAAGGTGGTCGCCAGGCCGTCGACAATGTCCTAATAGAAGGAGGTGGACGTCCTCAGCAAGAAGGCTTCGCACAACGACGCAGCTTGAAGCTGGACGCGACCACCCGGTCAGGTGATTTGAGACAACGCGTCGCTACCGCCACGGTCGCGTCTCAGCTACACAATAGTTAGCAGGACAATCTAGGGCGTTTCAAACACTACGATTCGTGAAATTCTGGACTAATTACACTGATATACAATTACAAGATAAAGTAAGCTTAAATTGCTACATCCCCATTCCCCTAGTCCCGCCACCCTCCTTCCGCTGTGTGAACGACTGCATCACCTCGTTCGGCACGCCCCCCATTCCATTCGCGCTACCAGCACTTGACGTACGCTGGTGCATCATGCCCGACGCACCCTGTGACAGCATAGCACCCGGGTTCGAACCCGGCAACAGATCCGGAATCTGCGGCTGCTGAGAGACATTCTGAGTTAAAGACATCGCCTGTCCGAGGGGGGGTGGCTGCCCATTCACGAATGGATTCATGATGAATACATTGTGCTTCTGCTGCAGCGCTTGCAGCTGTGCCTGCGACGTCGTTGGTGTTTGTGAGGGCATCTGAGAAGGCATTTGTGCTTGCTGAGCCTGATTAAGCAGTTGCTGTTGTCGCGCTGCCATGATCTGTTGCAACGCCGACAGCCGTTTGTCCAAAGGTAAGTTGTTTAGCGTCTGTTGCTGCTGAGGTGATAGCTTCGTAAGAAGCATTGCCACAGGCGGAGGAAGCTGTGTCAATTCAAAGCCGCAGACCTCCGACTTCGGCATGGGAGGCATTCCTCTCATCGAGAGGAAGAATGCACCAATAAATACACCCGGTTTGGAAGGGAACAGCATCATCCGCTTCTCAGGTAAACCCGCTGGGCCGGTGAATGTAGCTATTGCGTACTATCCGCACATATTGATCACTCTTCCGATTACGCACACTATGTTGCTGCATACTCACAATGCTCTTTTCTTGCAGTGCAGTATACAACCCTCGCAAGTTCTCGTCGTTGGTCTTGTGATTTCCTTGAAGAACTTGTGGAGTGAAATATACGATGGCGCACTGGTTTGAAAGACGCTTCAGCCAGTCCTGCAAGAGAAACAAAGGGATGACCCGTTCCGGTGCGGCCACCAACATCACGTTGGATGGCCAGTTCATAGAACGTCTGAGGAGGACATATCAACGCGATGTTGCGAGGGCTTTTTGCTAACTCACAAAATCGTTCCATGGCCCGGTTGTTGCGTATGCATCAGAACATGTGCTTGCACCACCCGCCCGTTTAAGTCTATCCCAGGCCCCCAAGATAGGCCACCCTCCCATACGATTTGTCCGAACGCACTGTTTACCACCTGCTGTGTCGGATTTGCAGCCGGTAATGTCGGATTTTGGGAAGCTTGCCCAGAATTCTGCATTGGTAGGTTAGTTGCTCTGTTCATCTGTGATTCCATGGCGGGGTGTGTAGGACCAGTGACATCAGGTAGAGAGTTTTGATGGTTCGATGTGGCCTGCAGAAGATGGGGCGGGTGGGCATTCGACGCAGGTTGACCTAGCGGTGAGGGTGGATCTGGCATTGGTACGTCGTCCAACGATGACACAGACTGACTCGGTTGGGGTGCCGACGCCGATGTTTGCACTCCGTTTTTGTCGTTTGCATTCGATGAGGCTACCGAAGACCCACCTTGCGTGTTCGAACTTACAGGCCGCGATCGTGATTGGCCTGCTGCATTTACTGAACTCGCCAAACTAGCCTTGTGTTTGTGTATCGCTGCCGCTATTTGCTTGTGCATAGTCGCTAGCTTCTGATAATCGGCATTGGCCTGGCGGGCTTCATCTTCACGTCCAGCGACCTGGTGGGCTTTTATTTGCTGCTGCCGCTGGATCATCAGCGCCTGCAGTGCCCTCGTACGTTCCTCAAACTGTGATATAGGGAATCCTCCAAGAACTTGAGTTGGCGTGCTAGAGGAAGACTGAGCGGCAGTTGACGTTGCTGATGTCGGCTGAATGGTAGAATCCGCGATCTTGGGAGAGGTATGTTTCGGCTGAGACTGGACACGGGAACGTTTTGCGACGGGACTTCCTTCAGGAGCAATAGATACAATCTCCGACGGACGTTTGGTACCTACATTTACCGATGGTCAATGCACGGAGAGCACAGCAATACTGAACGCAGATACCCTTGGACTTTGGTGACGAGAAGCCGCTCAAGTGTATGCTGTGTGAAGAACGAACCGGAAACCATGGGCCTTGAATTGTCCCTGCTGCGGCCTATCATGAGATTGGTCGCAGGTCTAGTGATCATTGCCGATAGAACTCACTGATGTGGCCAGTTCAGGATATCGCGGAAGCTGCCTAAGAAGAATCGCGCTATAGCATATTTCCCGCTGGGGCAACATCAACGTCAACCACACTAGATTACACTCAAGGGCAAACCTTCTGAAATTCAGATGAGAGTGTATCCCAAGATACATCGTCTAGAGTAGGCATCACATTCCACTGCGGCCGTTCCGTTGAATCTGGTTCTGCTGCTGCGACGTGAATAACGTATGATGCGAATACCTGGTGGGCTAGTTGACACATTATCCTACTATGATCTTAGACACCTACCTCCATCGTCTCCCGCAACGACTCGAAAAGCTAAGCGGAAGCGGAAGTTATGTTACGAAGCCGATATATGAGAGGGGCTGACGCACCTCAATGGCCGCAACGAGTCCTTCCAATGCCGCCAAACCTCCAGACTCCCCTGATCCCGTTCGTCCAATTCCAACTTTGGAGGGGTCATTACGCATGTCGTTCAGTACAGTTTGCGCATTGTTAAAGAATACCTTTCCGATAAGAGGAGTAGGTCGCGTTTCTGCAGACCCGTAACTCACGCAACCGAAACGAAAATGCTGGCAAATTGTGAATGATGTTTCAAAAGGAACGAAGAAAAACCCTACCGCACGGCTGCCGTATAGGTCACTGAGGCGGCGGAGCAGGGGACCTATGTATTCTTGTATGACTTGGTTCCACTCGTCTGCGAGAGCGAGAGATGAGTCCACGACGTAGGCAATGGCTATAACGTCAGACATTCAGTCTGTACAGAATATCTTGATGAGGCACTGGGCAACCAGTGGTTGAGATTCCGATGATGAATGGCAGAATTACGAAATGTGGCTTATCCCGCGCTAGATTAACCCTCATTGCTAGGGATGATACTGGGATGATGTATTTGGAAAATGACAAGCCTCTAATCCAGAAACGACAGCCAGTGATCATTTATGCAATGTCCGTGTGCACCTAATGTAATAATAACACAAGGATACGCAACCAAATTCCAGTGCTAGACGACGTGGGATATTATGAAGGCCACATGGTATAAGGGCCGGGTACAAATGCGCAAGTCCGTGGAAAAGAGAGTTCTCGACGACAGCATGGTAACGCCGCCTCATACCAGCGCGAGCCAAGCACCACCCATGAATCCGGCGAGAGTGCCGACAAGCATGCCAAGCCAGCTGCGATCTATCTTCCACCGCACTATAGCGTCACTCGCTGCAACTGTGCTCGTCCCGACTAAGCTCAACCACTGGCTGTATGCGAGAATGGTACCAGTAGTGGTAGGTGTAGGCAACGTTGTCGGGGCAAACGTAGGAGTGAATGTACCCTGGAGAACAACCGTACCACCTGAAGACCAATAAAACCTCGCGTTCCGATAGAAACAAAGTTGGCTACCTACCGGCAGCGTTTGTCGTTGTATAGACATAGACTGTGGCAGGCGCAGGTCCATCCGTTGGTGCTGGCTGTTCAACAACTTGTGGGGTAGTAGTGGTCGTGGTAGTTGGGGATGTAGTTGGTGTTGTGAGAGCTGTAGTAGGTGTTGTCGAAGTCGTAGTGGGACTTGTCGTCGTAGTTGTGGGTTTGGTGGTAGTCACGGCGCCGGTCAAGGTTGATCTGAAGGGCAATGAGCAGTAGATAGAGACGAAAAGAAGTATATACCACGTACATGACCTCAGTCGTCGGTAATCCAAGCGGATCCAGTGTCACTTCCTCGACAACGGTGAGTCCCAACCTGCGAGTGGCCGATAGCTCAGTGCGAAAGCGCTGAACAGAATTGCCCGCCACTCACGCGTTGGTCGTTGTGATCGTCTGCCCATACGCAGAGAGCACACAAAGGGCAGCCAAGGCAATGGTGAGAAGCGTTATATGCATGGCGACGGCAGCGGAGACGAGGGAGGACGCTGAAAGCCTGAGGTGATAATATCTGGTGAGGACTGTGTGAGTCCCAGACTTGTCCCAGACTACTCCGATGAGCGCCGGCTTTGCGGCTGCATCATGTGATCGCGCGAAACATTCAGCCTTAAAAGGAAGCCGCTGCTCTTTACATCTTCTACCAAAATTTCGGAAATGGTTGATCGATTCGGCGTGCAGCTCAGGCTTCTTCTCTCCTGCACGCATCCATCCACTCTCCCTTTTCGCTCCCGTTTCCCCTGTACTTCTGCAAGAGTCTTCTCGATCTCGCCACCGGTAGCAGTCAAAAAGCGATTGAAGATGCCACCTAAGAAAGCAGCGGCCGCTGAGAAGAAAACCCTCCTCGGGAGGCCGAGTAATAATTTGAAGATCGGTATCGTAGGTCTGTTTTGCCTAGCTGTTCGCAACGATATGAAGCTAACGCCACCTGGTTCTAGGGTTGCCTAACGTGGGCAAATCGTCGTTCTTCAACACCCTCTCTAAAACAGGCAAGTAACATTGTTCATGGGGTCAAATAGTCTCCGTTCCACCGCATAATTAACTCTTCCTTCAATCATACAGACTTGGGGAAAGCTGCTAATTTCCCTTATGCAACCATGTAATTCTTTCCACGTGTCCATATGCCACATCGTCGCTATCCCGCTACAAGGTGTCCCATTTCAACATCTGCACATATATTCCCTTATATCCACTTTAGTCACGCGACGGGCTCTTTCTGCTCTGTCTTACTTAACGCATTTGATTAAGCCCCACTCACTGACGCACAATTTGCAGCAACCCTGAAGAAGCTCGTATTCCTGTGCCGGATGCCCGTTTTGAATGGCTCTGTGACCTCTACAAGCCTGTATCACGTGTTCCCGCCTTCCTCACATGCATCGATATCGCTGGTTTAACTGCTGTCAGTGAGGGTCTGCTCTGAATATCATTCGGTGCGGCTGCTGACATGCTCTTATTAGGGTGCTTCCACTGGTGCTGGTCTTGGAAACGCGTTCCTGTCACACGTTCGTGCTGTAGACGGTATCTTCCAAGTTGTCCGCGCTTTTGATGACGCGGAAGTTATCCACGTCGAGGGCGATGTCAATCCATTGCGGGATATGGAGATCATTCAGACGGAGCTTCGATTGAAAGACATTGAATGGGTTGAGAAGTCGCTTGACGGCCTCAAGAAGTCTGGTCGTTCGCTCGGAAACTCAAGCTTGGCTGATAAAGCAAAGAAAGAGGAGATTGTAAGTGAAGATTGTTCGACACAATTGCATGACTCATTGCGTTATAGGCGACTGTAGAAAAGATCTATAAAGTCTTGACACAAGACCAGAAGGACGTTCGTAAGGCAGAGTGGACCAACAAAGAGGTGTGTAGAAGATGTTCATCCTCCCTATCTATGGTCTGGGGTAGTTTTATAATGACGATAAAGAGCACATTTGCTCGAATATTAACCCAGCTCGTCGAGGCGGGAGTAACGCCCCATATTGCCTATGAGATACCGCTATAATCTGATCTTTAGTTCTCGAAGATTTATAATTTATGCTCATTTTTCATCGCTAAACTTGTATACTGATAACTTATACGTACAGGTGAATATAATATTTCAAGCCAACGGTGCATTTATGTGATGACAAAGAGCCCAAGGCTCGATCTAACCCAGCTCGTCGAGGCGGGAGTAACGCCCCATATTGCCTATGAGAACCTTTTCCCTTCTGATTTTCCCCCATCAGGCTATTGGTTTGTGGTGAACTCGATTGGTCCAGAGTGATCTCACAATTCTTGCAGATCGATGTTGTGAACGGGCTGCAGCTCCTTACTGCGAAGCCGGTGACATATCTTGTGAACCTGAGTGAGAGAGACTACATCCGCAAGAAGAACAAGTGGTATGTCGTCCTTTCTCTGGCTTATCATCAGCTTCTCAGATCGGCTAGGCTGCCAAAGATCAAGGCCTGGATTGACGAGAACAATCCGGGAGATCCGTTGATTCCCTTTTCTGTTGCACTTGAGGATCGCCTTGCAGCGATGTCTGATGAGGAACGGGAGGAAGAGCAGAAGAATATCGGTGCTCAGAGTGGTCTCCCCAAGATTACTCAAGCTGGTTATTCGAGCCTTGATGTACGCCCGACTTCCCTTCTTAAACATGTCCCATACTCATAGTTCCTATTTCTGACCGCAGCTTATTCGATACTTTACTTGTGGCCCTGATGAGGTCCGAGCATGGACTATCCGACGCGGCACCAAGGCGCCACAAGCAGCTGGCGTTATTCAGTATGTTGTTCCCCTTGGTAATTGATTGGTATAATCTCATGCATCGGAACACAGCTCCGATTTCGAGAATAAGTTCGTATGTGGTGAAATAATGAGCTATGACGACTTGCGGGAGCATGGTAGTGAAACAGCGGTGAAGGCTGCTGGGAAGCTTCGACAGCAGGGCAAGCCATATGAGAGTGAGTTTGTTTTGCTGCGTCCATTTTATAATAGCTAAGCTATGTCATTCAGTGATCGATGGAGATATCGCCTACTGGAAGGCAGGTGCATGATGTGGACATTTTGGGAAGCAGAGAATTACCCGGTCGTGCTGTGGGCAGCGAAAGCATACAGAAGATGTACTTTCAGTGTTTTATATTCCTCAAACAACCTTATAACTCTACCCTGGCTTGAATCTGTTCGCGACCTCAGACAAAGCCTATATGTTTGATTGGGCGAGTTCAATTCGCATTTTGCACAATGGATAGCGGTGTGTCTGATAGTAGTTTTGTCATGAGAACTGAAATACGTCCTCACCATACAAAGTCTTATCGATATCCTCCTGGACATGCAGAAGAGTGCTTCAGCAGTATTGACAGGTCAAAGGAAGCATAATGTCTCTGGCAAACAGAAATAATAAAGGCTCGTCGGGTCAAATGCACATATCGTCTGCTGGTCGTCGCTCACAACACTGAGGGCAGCCACCATGCTCGTCCAATTCGTAACGACCATCATGCCACTATCTATCTCATTGGTGACAATCAAGACTAGCGATACAAGCTTTTGATGATACATATGGCAAGCCGATACAAGTACAGTTACAACTTACAATCGCATTGATGGCAGACACTCAAACCATAGGCGAGAGCTCGTTCAATGGAAGGCGGCACCAGAGGAGACAGAAGTTATCAACTTCTCTGCATCCGCCGACCGAGGTACGATGCGACACTCGAATGGGCCTGGAGAACTATAACAACACACGGTAGGTGAGCGATATGGCCGTTTACTCGCGTTGCAAGTACACGGACCTGATGATCCCAATATAGTCCACCTTCGGCTCAACGGGGAGGCCGTCCAGTCCAATCACTTTTGAGATGTCGAAAGTGGCGAGAATCATAGCTGAGGCGATGAATAACGAATCCTCCGCCAGCATTTGTCCCGGACAAGTGCTGAAAGAAGCAGCATCAGATGTAGGTGCACCGCCGTGAAGTTTTGACACGACGCACCGTCTTCCGTATCCGAAAGCAAATGGGCGCGGGTCGGGATTCGAGACATTCTCGTTCTTCATATACCTCTCGGGGTTGACATCGAACGGATCCGGATAACGCTCTTGGTCGTGCAGCACGGCCCTTCGTATATTTCAGTCATTACGGAGTTATTGAATGGATCGAAAAGGGTCCTTACCATGTGTTAGGAACGATAATTGTTCCAGCCGGGATGCGGAAACCGCGATATACATCTTCTGAAGTCACTTTATGGGGCAGGGCTAAACACGAGACTCAAATCAAATCAAACATGTATCTGGAGGTCAGTCTTGAGAAACTATACCAAGGGGGCCAATTGGATTCCAACGGTGGACTTCTTTCAGGACTGCACCTAAGTACGGCAGACAAGGGCGGTCGCTGAACTTCGGAAGCCGTCCCGGGCCCACCACGGAGTCTATTTCTGCCTGAGCCTTGCGCTGTACGTCGGGATAGAGAATCATAACCAAGAAGAATGACTCAAGTGCGTGTACAGTCTGTCAAAATTCCGTTAGCTAGAGATTTGGAAGATCAAGTTCTACTTACAGTGTCTGAGGCAGCTGCAATGTTTAAACAGTGAGAATTATGCACTCGAATGGAAAGCATCACTTCACCGACCTCCGTAAAACGAGGTGGATGCGCACCTCTGTACGTATTCTTCTTCTGGTGTGCGTTTCTCCTTGGACTGAATCAAGCCCGCTGTGAACGACGGCAGCGCGGTACCATCAGCCTAAAAGTACAGGGTAACTTTAACATAGAGGCGTAGCTGAATACGGGTGAGACAAACGGACAACTTGTTGTTTGACGCTGTCGTACGCCTCGTCCATTAATCTATCCGATAGCCGACGCCCTTCCTTCGCTAGCTTCTTGAACCCGGCACCAGGCAGCCATGAAGGAACGTACTTGACTTCAATGAAGCTCGACGTCAACACATAGCGATATACAAAAACTTCTGCTTACGCATTGGCAACGAATCAACAAGGAATGCACCTGGTGAGGTGGCGACGGAAAAATCAGAATTGCACTGTTCGGCCAGCTTCAATAAAGGGTCTTCTAGGTCAGCTACGTGATATCCGTGCGTGATTTGAAACACGGATGCGGCAACAAACCTACTCGTTGTATAAGCAGACCTATGCTTGGCGAATGGGGAAATATCATACCATCGTAGATGAGAGCGGAAATGCTCGGGGTCTACCAAAATCCGCAGGAGAAGTTCGGGGACTTTGGATTCCTGCACCGCATTTAACTCAGGGGCCTTCCGAGGATTTATCCCGCTAAGCATGAGCCTTCGAATTTCTCGATGATGAGTGCCGTAAGGAGCTAATGGAATTGATCGATCGTAACCCATCCTGCGCGAGGTCAGTACTAACAACTTAAAATATATCAGATCGTCTGCTCACATCTCGCCTGCCATGGTCATCACGGGACGGTCTGAGTAGTTAGCGCTGCGTTTCTCCAGGAGCTCGTTGAGAGCTTCCGGGGAAGACAGAATGATATAGTGTTGACCCAATACGGACAGATGTACAATGTCCCCTATACGTAACCGCAATTAGTACTAAATCTACATTGCATTTCTAGTGAAGTCACACCATATTTCTTTGCCCAATCAGTAAATATCCTCCAGGGACGTTCGGCTGGTATTTGTGATACGTTCCCAACGAGCGGAAGCCCCGGGGGACCAGGTGGAAGGGGAAGCTGGAATCGCCGTCGTGCGAGGTAGAGGATAAGCAGGAGAGGCACAAGTACGATAGACACTGCGACATGGCTGAATTTGAACATGATAGAAAGGTTGAGTAGTGAAAGTCTTTATTCAGAGTGTAGGTTGGCCGAGCAGGGATAAAGTGGCGTCTTTATATCACGAATGCCAGTGTAAACGGCTCCATCACATATAAAGCCTCTCGGGTTCTTTGACCCCTGAACTGGTCAAGAGGGGTTGATGCAAAGTGTTGTATGTCATATCCACCCGAAAACGGAATGAAAGACAGCCATCGCATGAAAACAGCTGGGAAGCAATCAAAGCTGGTTGGTCTCTCGACCTTCTATACGTGGTGGGAGCTGCATTTGACGTTGATTATGCGACTGCGTAGGCACAATGACTGGCTGCGGTTAGTGCATAGTAGCTGGAAACAACCAGGCCTCGGGAAGACTCAGGAGAAGCGGGAGTTGTTGACTCGAGCGGCTCAAGGCGCAAAACAATATCTGCAAAGTTAGCACTTGTAAATCTATTATGATTTTGGTGTGAGTATGTCTGAATAGAAAAGCACAAATATGCAGGCTGTGTGGTCTCCAGTGAACCTCAACTCGGCCCAAACCTGGACTTTTCTGCTTATGTGGATCGGCGGTCGCCCGGGTGTAGCACTCAGATCGGATCCTGAGATTAGCGCTAGCATCGACCATCGGTTCTCTCCCCACCACTGCCGAGTCAACTAACACAGAAGTGAGTATATGACTTGTGGCTCGATGAAGTTGAGGTCTTCAAAATTAGGGAATTTTATACACAAATGTGCAAACCTAAATCTGTCCATTAAATGCAATAACCCCGACTACTTCCCTGCACGAGTCTCAACTCACCCTCCTCCGAGTCCCGCTCCTCCCTTTAGTCATTGACCCACTATCGACTCGGTTTTTATATGCTCAGCCTCCACAACAATTAATGCATCTGACCTGAGTAAAAATATGCAGGGCCTGCAAGAGCGACTCGGTTCAAGTTGGTCTATGCTGCTCACAGGGACTACCCCTACCTATTCATACAATCAAGCATCATTCCTAGGAACGGTAGTACCCGATGACACTTGCGGGAAAACGCCAGGGCCGAGCATGTTGATGATTTCACCTGCTCTCACCGAGTATCAAGCACGGATCAAAACATAGTGTGTACGTTAGACAGCTTGGGTGTGACAATTTTAGATCTCCATTTCAGCGCAACCTGGAGATAAAGGAACGCGTCGGTTTTTACAGACACTGCTGTGCAGGAGTCCGTAGTTCGTTGCTATAGTGTACGTAACCTATGCTGACGGACCAACAATGGAATGATGAAATGTCGTCTGCACGACGTATAAGAGCATGCTCATACTTCAAAAATATCACGCCCGAAACGCATCGAGGTCTATCACCTCACTTGATCTCAGCTCACTTTTGAACCACTGACTGTCTTTATCGCAATGCGCTTCAGCACGAAATTTACTCTCATCGCCGCGACTACGTTTGTATTTACCATGGGAGCAGTGGCATTTCCCTCACCAACCCCAGCGCCGATAGAGGCAAAAATATGCCCCGAGACCGAAAAATGCATCATCGCGCCCAACGGGACATATATATGCAGTGCTTTGCCGTGCACCTGATGATGATCCCACAGGTGAGCCAGTCGCCGGTAGCTATAGGTCGAAGTGGCTGACTGCATTTTCAGCTTGCATCCTCGTCATGAACTAAGTACATGGTTTGGGAGGAACGGGGATGAAGAGGGCGGGTCACTGGTAGAGGGAGACGTCACAAGCAACAGAGAATGGTCCTGCTAAATGTTTACCTACAGCAATTTTGTCAATCTGTCGCACAGGGATAATTTCTCTCGTCTTGTGCTCTGGCTGGCACCTCAGATGAAGTCCGCACACATACGCGTGAGATTCGCATGAGATGAGAAATAAAATAGGCACTCACTAGTACAAAAGGCCCGGGTCAGATTATTTTACATCATCGTTTCTGGCCATAACACCAAGAGATCCAACTGCGTATGAAACCATTATCAAGTATATGCAAAACAGTAGCGGCGCACTCTTCACAGGAAAGCATGCCATACTTTTACTAGAAACATGTTGGCCGAGGGGATATAACTGATGGATACGGCTGGGATGGTTGGCTATAGAATCAGTTAGCAGCTTATCAGCCTCAAGAATGCATCATAACACCCACATCAGTAGAAAAATGGGTCATGCACAGCCATTCGGCGAGACGCTGGTCCTGGTACTAACAAACGCCTTTGATATTGATATTGATAGGCTTGGTGCCTGCTTAGTACATAGCAGAATTGTGATGTATTTATATCCCGTAACTTGACGCTCTCTACATCATACGGCAGAAACGTATCTGGAGAGAAAGAAAAATTTGCTTTTGGAAGACATACGACCAACAATAGGGTATAGTGGAAAATAGATGCAGATCATCACGCTTCGCATCTATGTGCGGAGCTTGTCGACAGAAAATATGGGTGAACAATTGAGCTGAGGTAGTTAGTTGGTGGGCCCGAACCAGCTGGTGAGCATCGACATAAGCATCCAGATATTTGAACTTTGAGGGCAGTGATTTGATCTGACGCTAGATGGAAGGCATATGACTCACCAAGAGAGCACTGTCAGCTTAGTCGAAGCTCTAGCTCTCTTCCGCACCGATCTTTAGATGAGCTAGTGATGAATGAAAGATACGATGTTGGTCAACATTTAGTAACTAATTCCATTCCATTCCAAAGGAGCCCACCTATTTGTGCAACAGCCAAGAGCCGCCGGCACTATATATACAGGATGTCATGTTTCTCCTCTAAATCTCAACACTTCGTTCGAGAGAGCACAGCAACATTCAAGCACTTACCTCATCATAATTCCTACACAATGCACTTCTATATAAACATCTTAATAGCTGCACTTACCATAACTTGGTTCACTGTGACAGCCGCTGCCTTAGCCATGCCGACTGAGCACATCATACACCCAGTTTGCTATACAGCTTGTGTCACTGAAACCGATGGCACTAGATACTGCCCTCCCTGTTAACGGATGGTAGTATGACGATTCAGTAAGCAGGCCGATGATAGCCATAATTCAGACGACTTATTTTAGATGCAGTTCACCGACGTAGGGTTGGATGTGGGTGTAGTTGGGTATGCTTGGGGGATAGAGTAGCGGAGGTTCCAAGCAGGAGGGGTTTATTTCGTGATAATATTGTGACTCGTACAGTTCGCCTATTCACCTGAACCTTGTTTCAACACCCTACATCATCGTGTATTTGAGATAAGGGACATCCAAATCTGCAGAACCGACAGGATGGAGCCAAAGGGTCCACGCCGGTTTCTGTGAAGGAACCATGAGCATCCACCGGACATCAACCTGATACAGTATCAGGTTCTTCTCTTATTCATAAAAACAGTACGACAAACCAGTGTTCTGTGGCCCTCTTCCAATCATCGACCTGAATATCCGCATAGCATCTGAAGGTTGATCATATAGGGGAGTATGCCTTGAATATTGAGTACAACCAGGTTACGTGCCAGCCTGTAGTGACAGGATATTTGCAGAATATTTTCAATGAGCATCTGAAACAAATATATTAGGCTTACTGGTACATAGTCTTGGAAGCCTTTTGATGGCTGTCTAGTTAAAGGGTTGGATATGTCTTCCGGGTGGTCAATTGAGGTGAGGGATGAGCCCGAATAGTTCTGCGGCGATGCAACTCCATCAACCACCGGGTCCGTGCTGCATGTAAGTAAGATACTAAACAGCCCTAGAATTAGCAGATGAGCCTAGGCAATAGCTCAGCGACCAGGAACTCGGAGATGCGGAGGGGAGTGATGGCAATGCTTGAAGTTAACCACTCGCCTATGCAGCGTTCATCGAATGATGATGTGACACAAAGGTCATGGGCGTCGCTACCCCTCTTCAGAGCTATAACAAAACGTATCAAATAGCCTTCGGCCTCAGCCTCATATGTCCACCCCATAACAATCTCCGAAACCTCTGCGGTTCGGCCAACCTTTGAATGGCTGTTAGACAATGCAGTAGGGGCCCCTACCGCGTTGTCTAAATGTTCGAATGCATTTAGCCGGCTCTTGACAACAAGTGAGTGTCTATTGTCTCAACGGGTAGTGGCAGACTTTAAACTCACTTTACTGTCCCCTCGAGACAATCAATGTCTCGCTCAATTTTCAAAATCCTTACATGCGAAGACGTCCTCTCGATAACATGGTCAGAGCAGCCGCAGTCAGCCGAGATTATGCTCTTTCAGAAAATGGTGGATGCATAGCGGTTACACCCAGATTTCCGCTACGATATCGCTTACTACGGCAAATTCATGTTCACGAGCGGTACTTGATCATAACCTCCGCTATATTTCCAGGCAAGAAGAGGATGGATATTAGGCGGAGATAGCCTCAGATAATTGAGTCTCATGAGCCTGAGGCGCGTCGTAGATCAGCTCCGTGGCAGGCACTTGCATGATGATTATAGAACTGTACATACAGATACATCCCTATGTTGCCAGTAGAAAATGATGTGAGCTGGAGGGATCCGCAGGAACTCAGTGCGACTGTGAGAGCTAAAAGAGGCTGAGTGGCTCGATGTACTGTAACCTTGTAGATCGCAGAGCCTAAGACACCGGAAAAGCAGTGTGATCAAAGTTCCAATGCAACTTCGGACCCGGCGTGTGTGCGTGCTTGTTGACGCGTCTGCCCCCTCTGTGCCATACACAGCTCATGAACGTTTGAACAAGCAAATGCGTATGCACGCTCAGGCTGCTGTACGGAGGCGCGGCCAGACACCAAGACTGACCGTGAACGTGCTGCAGCCCTCTGTTTGTCCGCGGCGCCCCCTTCTCCCCGCTTGCAAGCTAGCTATAGACAACCCCCTACAGGACTCGCCGAACGCGTGCGTCACATTCACGGATGCGTTTCATACGATAGTGACCACCCGACGAGGGGAATTGATGGCAGACGTTAGATATCCACTCTGCTCACAGGAGAACTATCACCAGTCTTCGCTTTGTGCGATCGATGTGTCTGCAATGGGCGCGTACTCACTCGCTTCTATAGAGTATTCGCTCGCGCTCTCGTCTCCTGGATCCTTGCCAGCTTGGAGCTACAATTTCATCCATATACTTGAACCCACCATAGTCTCACATAATGTGCTTATCTATGCGACTGAAGACATCCTCAAAATCAGACCACTACCGTGAGTGGCACCGGTGCGGCTGCGAGATCGTGTGCAAGGTTGTCTGGAGCAAGGAATAGCAACCGCTTTACATTACACCACCCCAATCCCGACGGGCCACAATTAGCAGCGCCGACTGCGCCAGGCGGCCTCAGTCAAATTATCGGATTTAATGAAGGATGGTCCGAATCTATCCCAGGATGGTGGAAGCATGGCGCGTTCTTATATATGAGCCGATGTATCCGGCAGTCTGAATGAAGTTGATAGCGACGTGGGCCTGACACTGGGCTTCTGTAGTGGGACCACGCTCTAGAATCTGAGAACACTGACAACGTCCATTCAACTTCAAAGCAAAAAAAAAACCACAGCAAAAGTACATTCCATCGGCGAGATCAATCATACAAATCGTTAATGTCGTAAATTCATAGTAAGTGGCGGTGAAGGTCGTATACAAACGACTTATTCATGGGTATCAGCCTCTGGTCAGAAATCATAAATAGCGTAGGACTATCACAGACTGAGCAATATAAAGACTCGTATCACATCACCTTCGAGCAAGATTGGTGGTACTGCGATTGCGGATGCCGCCTGTGGCATCCCTCCGCAACATCCCATCCTCCTCCGGCAAGACGAAGCTGTTCCGCGTACCCGGACCACCCGCGATCCCCACGCTGCTGATATTCTTCTTTGAGTCCAGCGAAAATGCGTTGCTCATGACAGGCATGCTCAGGCGCCTGATCCATCCCTTGGGCTTTTCTGGCCGGACGTTAGAAGAGCCCTGCCCAGACCGCACATCGCGCGAGGCATATCTCGGGATCGAGCACGCCTCACAAGTACAATATGGGCCGTGATCGGCAGGATGAAGCGGTGACGATGGCTGGCTGGATGGGTAATCAGTGGGTGCCTGTTGCGAGGGCGGGAGAGCCACGTTTGTTGTGCTGTATGAATGGAGGGCGTGGCGCGGACGCGAAGCAGTGGGAGATACGGACGGCAAGTGAAGTTGTGGGCGATGAGAGAGCCGGTCCACGATCCCAAGACGCTCGGAGTCACTGCCATACCCGCTGTCCAGGCCTCGCGCATTCAACAGACGGCCGCGCTCCAGCTCCAGTTCCTTCGCCCGCACTTCAATTTCCCTTTCTTTCCGTCTCAGCTCCAGCTCTTGCTCCCTAAGTTCAAGTACTTCTAGCTCTTCCACACGTCGCCTCCGAAGAACCAATTCATCCGACGATGGCATAGATGGCGATCCTGCAATACTATACCTTCCGTGACTAGTCGATGGACTAACCCGCTCTGGAATAGGCACTTGTGACGTGCGGCGGGTCATATCCACTGACACCCTGCGTCGATCATCTGAAGCAGGGGCATGTCGGGAGGAAGTCGGGGAAGACGGAGGAGTCCTGGAGGATTCGTATTTGTTAGTCAGGTGAGAAACACTTGTTGGAACTCGCGGGACCTCTTTGCGCGGAGGAGATGGGGGTTCAGCCTATTGATTATGCAGGAATCAGCTGCGAATTAAGACAGTCGGAAAAGGATCAAACACACTTGTCGTGTATAGCGGTCACGAAGGGTAGCGACAACGCTTATGGTGCTCTTGCCCGTATCAGCTCTTTCAATAATAGGGCTCGAGCCGCCAGTGACACCAGGCTGCGTTGTTTGCTCGATTGTTGGGTTCTTCACAAGCAAATCTCCACTAGTCACCTTGTTCTCCTGCCCAGGAGATTCAAGTCGACGTGATGCAGGCCGCATCGACATCCCCGAATTTGTGGGCGTAAGATGATCTACTGGAGACCGTATCATTTCTGGAGCAGGAGAATGTGCACTCGAGTGCTCGCTAGCTGCTTTACCCTGTATTTCCGATGAGGTATTATCTTGACCTTTCCGCATAGATGTGTTGGAAGTCTCGCTGAATGTAGTGGACATAGACTGGATGAGAGCCTGCTCCGATGCTGATCGAGAAGCATCCACAATTGCCTGTTCATCTGGAGAAAGTGGGACGGGCGACTCAGTATGCCGCGGAAAGGGGACATCAGAGGATCTCCGTCGACTAGACGAAGATTCATCTTTCTTATCCATGATTGGGCTACTGGGTTCTTTCACAGCAACAGGAGGTAGAGGGAAATGTGTAGGAGGGGAGGGAAAAGAAGCCAGTGAGGTTAACGAAGTGTTTGAGCGATTTCTCTGGTCTGCAAGGGCTCTTGAGAGGAGGTTGTGCGCTTGTCCGTTAGCAGGCGGTTCCGAGGGAATTGTCATATACTGTGGGGGCGCAGACGGCGAATCCCCAGAGGGAGTAGCGGCCAGCGAAGATGAATCCTGTGTCTGCTCGGATCCTTGCCGGGATGAATAATCCGGCGCGGGCTTGCTGCTGGGAGGGACTGTAAGCGCGTATGAGTCTTGACCATTTGGTGTAGCTGCACGGCTCATAGACATCGGCGTGTTAGACCGGTCCAGCGAGGCTGTCGACTGCAGAGTCTCTGGAAGACCACTAGGCATAGCACCAGACCAGCCACCTTCGCAATATGCACGAATTTCACCTAGTGGTCCTATTGTTGGCGAGAATCTACGCACACCCTCACATGAGCGCAGCCATTCGCCATCTGCAACTCGCGAGAGACACGCAGCGAGGATATGCATGACATTGTTGTGCCGTTGGGTGATAAGCAACGCGTGGTTACTGGTGAGAGAAGAATGAACTCGACGTGCTATCATGGCCAAACGCAAATCACTGACTATTTGTCCTGATTGATTTCCGGTCCCAATGTGCTGAGGACATTGATATAGCGGGTATGTTCGTCAGCCGCTTCTTGAGGATACTTTCTGGATTTCTTCTCATAGAGCTCGCCAGCCTGTCTAATCTTGGCATTGGCGCTGGCGATCCGTGCATCATGAGCCTTTTCCTCTTTCTAAATCTGTGAGGTCAGTCATCCGTAAAGGCGGGTAGGTGAAGAAGTTCGCTCTAGCTTGTAACAGAAAAGGAACTTTCTCAACATTAGAACAAATTAGTATTTAGAGCGATAAGATATGTATCGACAGGGAAAATAGCGTAAAATATATTTACTCGTAACATAAAGTGGAGCTTCATGCAGAGATTCAACGGCCAAAGTAATTAAACGCGAACGAAAATGCCACTCACAGCAAGTTTCTTGAACCACTTCTTGACCTCGGCACTGATTCCGTCGCACTCTTTGTCTGCGAGCCTCACAAATTTCTGGTTGACATCCGACAGTGTCTCAAAGATAGTAGCACCTGTAACCAGCGCAGTGGCTGAATGCGCCAGTGAGCCAGAGTGGCCGCTCCTGATAAGAAGCTGGCTTACCCGGAATCTCCGCTACGCACTTCACCGACGCTGCATCCCTAAGGGCCTTCGCTAGTTTCTTCTGCAGGGTGATAATCGCGTTCTCAGCCTCGCAGTAATCATTCAGGACGTTCACAACTGCCTCGAGTGTCTTGCAAGACTTATGTACGTCGCTCCTGTCCGCGATGGTAAGCTGGGGTGTGGATGCAGACATAATAGATGTCAACGAGGACGCATCAATATCAGATATCAAGGTTTTCAAGCCAGCTTGAGGGCGAGGTTACCCTCATGACCGACGGATGTGAAGCGGGGAGATCGAGTAGTCGCAGGTCGTCGACACCAAACATAGCCAAACTGGGAAATCGAGTGCTTACAGGACATGCCGTCATTGTCGCTGCTTACTCTCGTCCACCGCGGCTGTTTGCCAGTTATGCAGAGACCCGCATTCGACGGCCCGAATGGCGAATAGCTTGCGATTGCCGTTCTCAACCGCGGACATGTCCTGAGTCCGGAAATTTACAGGAATACGGGGCAATCGCTCGTGATTCCTGGGCTTGTGTCTGGACGAGCGTGAGGGGTTGGCCGCTGGGGAGTGTATCTCTGTATGTGTGCCTGAATTTTGGAGTTTGGATTGTTCAAGTGACACACCTATAGCATACACAACCTCACTTTGTTTCTGTAAGCCGTTTCGCGAGGAAGCAAATCAATTACCCCAAGTCTGTATGTGGTGTGGGATGCCTTTCACTCGAGGTTCTTTCGACTACAAGCCTGACCATATGGCGATTTCGTCTGTACTGGATTGAGAAGTGGCTAGTGCTACCGCGTGTTGGGTTAAAGGATTGCGGAATTGGACGGCTGCGTGGGCCACGTTGGCTCCAGAATGTTGGAGTGAATGTAGTAAGTCGGTTTCTGCGTTTTTAGGATATTGGCCTCATTGCACGTCTCTGAGGAGCATCCGGCTGTGCACATCGTGAATCTCTGTCCGCCATCCGACGTCGCCGTCGCGTATGCTGTCTTTGGGCCAAAACCTGTTCAGCATCAAATAACAGGTATCATAGTTTGTATGTTAAGTCATACATGAGAGAAGCTGGAGGCGCCGCCGTCTTCATGGCAAGCTCGTGATGGAATGAGATTTTCTCAATCCTGCTGATACATCCTTGCATGACATATTCGGACTCTGTCAGCTTTCTCGAAGGCTACACTCCTGACTGGATATGCATTGAAACAAATTAATTAGCCCAGGCCATTCCACATTTCGTGAAAGAGCCGAGCTGGGCATTACGTTTCTCGATCCTTGAATTTCACTTCGGTTGGCAACACCGAGTTACACTTTGATGGCTACGGATCGGTTACCATTCTGGTAATTCTTGGTCTCGTGCTTCGACACGTCTGGGTACGAGACCAGTAATTCTTGATGTCTTGTAGCTTTCAAAGTTTCAATGGCATTAGTTCACTACTGTATTGCAGGGTGCATCTCCTTGTTGCTTGCGCATGGAGTTATACTGAGTTGATCATCTGTAGTGGATCTAAATATGCTTGTACATTGTGATGGATAAACATCATGACGGCTATAACCAAATTGTAACGCTATTGGCGGTTACAGCACAACCGATCAGTTGAGACAGCAATGAGCCTGATTTGATGATAAGCTTCTCGAATTGAGATGGCTTGCAGTCACTAGAGTTGAGTTGGAGCTGATCTTCATGATCATATGAGCTCATTATCAAAGACAACTGGAACTCGTATAATCATAAGTCATAAACAGTCATGAAGCGGAGAGCAATATAGAGGTACAAGCAAGGGAGCAGGCAAGCCTAGGTAGCGCAGAGACATTCTTCTAACAAGATCGTAAAGATGAAGCAAATCATGGGAGGAAGAGGTATCGCAAATGAGACGGAATCGGGTATCGCTACACCATGAACTGTCCAGCAAAAATGTTGTAATCCATATCGACGATGGATTGAGCCAGGATAGAAAATCAGGTCCGAAAGGATAATGGGTCGTCTCACCACATTTCGTTATCGTTGTGCCTCGCATTCTCCCACCTGTTGTCCTGGATGCCGCCCCAGGGCAGTGCCGGGAAATGCAACACAGCGCCCGTAATAGGGTCCGTCAAGGTCGTGGTTACGCTCGAGTTGGTGTGGGTGTCTTCCGTTCGTGTCGTCACAACAGACGTGAGAGTACCTGAGGCGATATATGGTGGAGGGATCTCGGCATTCGACGACGATGGAGACTGGCGGATCGGCGGCAAGTGAGGCATGCCAGGAGCATGAGCTAAAGGCGATCTTGGACGACTCTCCCAAGGTCCCTCTCTGCTAAACACAGCGGAGACCGGGGGTGAGCCAACTTCGCCGACGCCTGCGTGCCGTCTCGGCCTTCTATCGTCGTCTGAGAGCGAGCTTGAGTGGGTCAGCGACATGCCGCTACTGCCAGTAAGACCTTGCGAGTGCATTGACGGCCTTGACGACGAGCTATGCATCGTGTGACGGGAAGAAGCGGGTGCAGAACCGGCTGGGCTAAGTCCTGAACGGGGACTCAGATGTGATCGCATCGAATGCAAAGAGCCCTGTTCAGAGTTCAGAGCATCGCGTGGATGAACTACCATTGGCTATTGAAGAAGATGTACATCAGCACCTCCGATGTATCTTGAAACACAATACTCACCACGCCAAATGTCATCCTGCGACCTTCACCGCCACTGGCAAGGCTTCGCCAACCGTCTCGAGCAGCCGGGGGTTCATCCTCTAGAACGTCGATCTGTATACCGGATGTATCCATGGACATATCTGTCACGCGGGAGTTCCGCCATGCATCAGGAGTGGGCAGTGGCACCAGTCCAGGTGGGATGTTGGGGCGACCTGAAACCGCAGTGAAGGGTGAGGCAGGACGTGGCGCGGGCTCATCTAGCACATCAAGTTCGCTTGTAGGAGTATTACCCAATCGCGTTGGGGGGAGCATAGATGCTTCGTACGAAGGTGGTTCTCTAGGCACACTTTCATATTCTCCATCACTTGTCGATCTCGTTTGAGATGCTTGTCTTCGCTGCGGGGCAGGTAAAGGTGGAACTGGAGGCACTCTCGAACCGCCAGATCCGAACGTACCAACTGGTGAAGTAACATCCACCATAGAGCTTCCCGGCGTTGACCGCGCGTCGTGATACATCGTGTTGCCGCTTGCAGTAGTGGTGCGACTTCTAGAGCTGAGCGTCGATATCGGCCGTTCCTCACGCATCCCAAGTTCAGCTCGGAGACCTGACTGAGACCTAGGCCTCCGTCCCGTGCTTGATGTCGGGCTAGACGGCTCCTGCGTCGGAAGAGGCGCCCAAGAGACCGGCCGCGAACTGCGAGATCCCTGGCGAGAGTGTGCGCGAGGGGGTGTGCGCGTATACCGATCGTCCGTGGCCGCAGCAGCAACAGGAGTAGGAGCATCGCGAGAGCCTCTTGGTGAGAGGAACGACATGCGTCGGAACCAGCTCATCCGTGGGAGGTTGGCGAGTCTTTCCAAACCAGACGGACCTCCCGTCCATAAACTGGGACCGGGTTCACCTTCCCCAGGTTCAAGGCCGAGCTTCACCCGACGAGCCGTCAGGAACTCCGCCGCTTCTGGGCCAGGCGACTCCGGAATACTGGCAATGGACTTCTCGGATACACCGATAGACCCAATAGACTGTGAAGACCTGGCAGGACGGAAACTGCGTTGAACAAAGCCAATGGGAGGCGGAGGGGGTAGGGGCATAGTATGGTCCTCGGGAGAAGCGTTCACAACGCGTACGGTGGGCATTGCCGCCTCCTCTTCGATCATTCTACTGAGCAGCTCGTTCCGAGGCATGATTGGGCCTCCAACTTTTGTCCCAGAGCGATGGGTCGAAACTGTTCCTCCAGCGATGGCAGCGGCTGCCGGCATACTCACGAGCGTGTCGGTGCCTGTTTTCGTCTGCGACATTTCGTCGGCAGTAGACCGCAGGCTTCGTGTCAAAAACGGGTCGTCTTCTTCACCGCTCCCACGAGGGGAGCCTTCGCCAGGTGACTGCACACCAATATTGGCATCATCGTTGAAGTCGTCCGGACTCACCATCTGCCATTCCGTCCAGATCGGTGTCTGTCGTCGTGACTGTCGCTGAATTGAGAACAGCGTCGTCCGTCTATTCCAGAAACTTGAGCTCTGGTCAGTGGGTGGCCTGGATTGTCTCCCGCGGCGATAGGACCGCCACAATAACAATATGATAAGGATCAGAATGACCAGAAATACCGTTCCAAGAACGGCACCCAGGATAGCACCAAGCTTTGTGGCCGACAGTCCATGGCTAGTGGCTCCTGCAGTCCCGGCCACTGGTGCAGAAGTGGCAGGGGCGGTGGTAGAAGTCGAAGTTTGTGACGACGAAAATACTGAACTGGTCGGGGATAAAGTAGTCGACACAGAGGAAGTCGTTGCTAGCGTAGAAGACGTGGAGGCGGAAGTAGTGGAAGGAGGAGGCGTAAGTCCGCCCCAAGTCCAAACCCCATTAGTTCCAAGAGGAATCTGAAAATCAGTCAGTAAACTGGGATCGTAGGCGCCAACACAATGTGAAGAGTCTACGAAATGATGATTCTGTGGCATGAGATGTTCCATACACGAGATAGGCACGTTGATAATGAGATGCATCTTAACGATATGAAGCAGATTTATGATTTATTCGGTCAGCTGGGATGGGGATGCAAGAGGATAGATAACGGCTGAGGGGTGATGACAGCGTCAGCCACGAAATCCGCCTTGGAACAACGCGGCTGATGCAAGGCTCCGATAGAGCATTCGTCAGGAGGGCAGTAGCCATCATAAAACCAATGGTGAAGAACCAGCATGAGGCAGACACCCGCCTTGAACATCAGCCTGCACACACATAGGAATGTATCCTTCACGCAGCGAAGATATACAGCCCCAAAACGAGCCGCATCCGATAAACCACTTACACTAGGTCCATAGTATGTTAATGGCAAACGAAGGGTTGTGGACGAAGTAGACACGCGTCCGTTAGGCGCAGTGATAACAGTTGTAGAAAGCGTTAGCCACGACGGGAGGACCTGAGTTGGCACAGACATGGCCTGGGTGAGATAAGAGCAATGCTGTTCAAAGGAAGTCGTTAGTAGAGAGCGTGGGTGTCTATCATAATCCTGGAAGCAAAGCATCGCGTCAGTCCGAATTCCTTCACGATGAACGGTACTCACTGATTAAAGCGGCGTGTTTTCTGACAACAAGCCGCTAAAACTCGCAAAATCGGGACTAGGAGAAGGAGGACGCGGGGCGGATGGAAGGGAGGGGAATGAAGACAAGACTGGGACCGTGAATTACGGTGTTGAAATCGTGGCCCACCACGTGATGGCTCACATACGATCCGAGCACATATTTGACTTTCATTATTTTGACTTGCATTTACAACACTTTCGGAAAACCTTTGGCTGCGCCACCTTTATTGAGCTGCGAAGCGATAGAAAATTGTTTTACTTAGCTTATCAGGCATCTTCCGGCTTTCACCGCGTCTTGACATAGCACAGACAACCCAAGGATTTCCAAAAACACTGGAAAAACTCACATGCAGTCAGCTTGATTCAGGAATCGTTTCCGACTCGATTCGCTATATGCGATGTGGACTCAAGTCATTCGATCAAAGTGGTTGCATTCGTCCTCGCAGAACGGTCGCTCGAGAACACTGTGACGGTATGTCATTGCTTCTCTTCTTTCACGCTCAGGTAACGAGATGAGTTGCATTGATCAGGTCCCGGGATCTTGTCGACGTATCAAGTTAATGTGGGTTTGCGGAAATCGTCCAACGAGGATGATGTTGTAAACGAGGCTTTGTGTCTACTTTGCGCATGTTGCATCTCTTCATTATGCCGTGAGCTTCCATTGAATCACTCTGACACTACGAGAAGCCTCGTTTGAAAAGCACCATCGAGTGTTGGTGGCTCGTTATTCGCGAAACCGGCGAGGGTCAGGATCATTATCTTCGCCCATTCACGAGTGATCACCCTTGACGGAGGAGTGAGCGCGAATATGTGCTTGGAATGCTATATAGACAGCACAGGCGCATCGTGTCCCTCGTATTCATCCACTCATGTCTCAACAGAGAAACCAAAGACGCACAGTCAGCTCTGTCTTCAGCGCGGTCTTTCATTCGCCCTTTCGCCGTATCGAGAAACACCCTATACGAGATTCGAACTCTAAGAGCTCGCGTCGCGGTGATGTTTCCATGTCTCAATCGCCTCTAACTGCACAACGGCCGGACCCCATTTATGTCTCAACGCGTTCGGGAAAGATTGTGACGCCTGTGAGGGTGCCAGAGACCTCTACTGCTTACAAGGTCGAGCAGGCAATGGAGGCAGTGGATCGTATCCTTCAGAGTGCGGTTACAAATGAAAATCCTTCACCTGACACCGGTACGTGGCGAAACCAACTATGATATCCGATAGCTCTAATGCATACATGCAGTCGTAGATGGCGGAAAGGCGATCAGCGTAGTTGGTCTAGTACCCGACAAAGTCTCTGACGTTGCGGAGGCTGTTGTGAGCAATGGAGTTCCGCATTTTATTCATCAAGTTTTCGAACATATGCCCCATTTCCTCGAAGCGCTGGAAGAGGTGGCGAAGATACACCCTGTCACTCATGGTAAATGTCTCTTATATTTCTTCCCGGTCATGCTGTAATGACAGTATCCCAGCTGTTGCAATGACTTTCAAGACAATCTGCACACTTGTGCACAGACATCGCAGTAACGAAGAGAAGGTTGTAGCAGTGCTAGTCGAAATGAGAGACATGCTCTCAGTGCTCTTACAGTACGCCTGATTTCCACTTGAGACGCTATGTGGAATATTGACATTGATCTATAGCCTCAAGATTGTACCAGCAGGAAGTACAGACTCCAAAGGCGTGGGGATCGAGGAGCGAATGAAAATTTTGATGGAAGAGATTGCAGTAGAGATGAAGAAGTGCGCGAACGTATGCGACGCGTACTGTAAGGCGAAGATCGTCGCCAAAGTCCTCAAAGGTCTTATGTGGGAGAAGATGTTCATTGATTTTACTCATGGATTCTCCAAGCGAAGAACATCCTTACAACTTGTCTTGTCTGCATTCACTAGCCTCAAGGTAGATCAGATCGATCAGAAACTTGACGAACTTTCACTCGAATTGAGACGACGGTATGTCCGATTCTTTGATTGTCTAAGCTAGCGACTCAAGTTATATTTCAGGAACGACGAGATCATCTGGTTCATTCAGTCACATGTTCCCGCAGAGCATAGAGAGATCTCTGCTCATATTGAGCGGAAGGGAGGAGTGGAGGCAGTTTTACGAGACGACAATGCCATTCGCGATCTCATTGCGCTTGACCAGAAGCGTTCTGATAGTCGTCATCCAGATAAGCAAGTTGCGGGTAGGGTTCGAGATAGCGAGCGCGATGCCAGGGTTCAAATTCAAGACATCGACGGCTTTATTGAACAGAATCTGGTCTTTTTCTATCGCAAGTTCGAAATACAATGGCAACAGCTCGCCGAGGAAATGGCTTCGGTTGTGCACCAGGAGGCCGATCGTATCATTACCAATGTCGCCGCTGGTCCACACGACAAGATCGTCGATCCTGTGGGTCCAAGCCCTCATAATCATACAACAGTTAGCTAATTAATATTCATAGGATTTGCGCAAAATTTGGAAAGAAATGGTGAGCGGCCTTGCGTGCATTTGTCTGGAAAGTATTGATCTCTATGTTAGGGCTGGCGAGGGAACGTGAAGGCTCGACATCTGGTATTGGCCATCAGGGATTATTATCATGATCAAGTGGAGGAGAGGAAGCGACATGAAAGGACCGATGGGCACGCGTCTTCACTTCATCACGATGATTGGGTTCTACATTGGATTACGATGAAGAGGCTCCAATCTATCACGGAGGCATTTAACCAAGATGCGTCCGGATATGCGACGATCGCAGAAGTCAACGCTTTCTCGTCATCAAGGCCTAAGGATTGGAGGTAAGCGATGAGGTTTGGATGGTATCTCAATTGACGCTCTATCTTCAGTCTCGCGCATTGGCTGGCATACTGGGCCGTTGGTAACTGGGTCTTGTCCATTTACAAAGATCATGTGTTGATTGTTCTTCTAGGATGGCAGAACGTAGCAACCGTGTACAGAGAGAAGATCCACGAGCTCTTCAGTAAAATGTTTTCGCTGGAGGCGTCGGTACATAACGCAAACCGCCGTATAGTGGACCAATACCTAGAATATGTATGGCAACCAGTCATGCTTCTGACATCGTCACTGCAGCCCTTCATCCTTACGGAAAAGGTACGAGCACGATTCAAAGAATACGTCGCTTCCGAAGAAACCCGTATCAAACGCGATCTCGAGAGTGTGAAGTACCACGTTGATGATCTAACAACACTGAACCTTGTCACTGGGCCCGGTCGAATCGAGAAGGTGTTGGCAGGAATTTGTGTGGTTGAGTCGCGACGCTGATCATTCTTTGGAAAATCCAGAATCTCTTCCCTCTGCTTTATCTCATGATAAAACGTGACTTCGAAGTCATGCGGCTATGTAAAACGAAAGTCATAGATGAATGTGAATTGTGGAATTCCATTCGAAGTATATGGCTGGTCGTAGGCGTTGTTGACAGTCGTCACAAGGAACTAGAAGGTAAATCGTGGCTAGACGTTACGAGCGCGGACTCAACATCCTATAGATACTTTCAGGCATCAGAATATGGACCCCACGCAGCAGTTTAGGATAACGTATGCCGGCCTTGTATGTTATACTTGCATTTTCATCCTCCTCTGAAGCCTAACGCGTACTACAGTTCGATCATTATCATGATCCCAGCGTTTTGTTCAATCGCAAGGCGTTGCGCGACATGAGCTCCTCTCATCACCATCACTCCTATGATGATACGAAAGAAGCTCAAGATGTTGACCCTGGCTCGGTTCTCAATCACTCTCACAAGGACGCCGACGGTCATGACCTAAATCAAGACCTCGATCGCGCAGCCTACGAGGAAGCTCACGAGCCACTGATCATCGGAGAGATTGGCCAGGGCATAGATCCTGTTCAAGCAATGTATGCTCCTCGATCGGACTCGTGCGCCTTGACTGACGATCATTTACAGAGCGGGTACATGGCATGCACTGCTATATGGTGCACAGGGCCAGCTAATATCCCCAATGTTCTCTCTCCACGTCCAGTCGGAAGAGCGCAGCTACATGGCCTCCGGAAGTATTCCAGGATCATCCATGTTTCCGAACTTTACCTTGACCGGAGAATGCGAAAAGGGCGCAGATGGAGATCTTTCCTTTGCATTTGTCATGAAATGCTCAGCACCGTTCGAGTCGAAATGCTTTCGCGGTCATCTCAGCGAGAATGGGATGACATTGTCCGGTGATTGGGAGGGTCAAGACGACGTTTCTGGGCTTTTTGTTTTCTCTCGACTCCCAGCCCAAACACTCTCTCATCGCCCATCACCTATGGAGCTTAAACTCAATAAATCGCGCGCTCTATGGAAATATGCGATTTCGGCCACTCTAGATGGCGTCGCTCACAGACGGTATTCGTGGTCAGTTTTCTTCCGCCGCCGGGACATTCGAATTCGATACCTTGATCTCTTGTTCCGAACATACTACGGACGTCCCCTCGATCAAGATGAGCAGCAAGAACTTGCTAACTGTAGGCAATCTCTGAGCCCTGCTGACGCTCGCTTTTATTTCTCTCTATGCCGGCTGAAGCTTCGCACAGTGTGCGTGCATGGGTAAGCTTTTAGGAATCATTGCTGCTTACAATGGCTCATTTCTATCTTAGCGTGACGTGCGATAGTTGCGGAGGAGTAATCAGCGGCGGGCGCATTGTCTGTATTGACTGCGACTTGCACAGCAAGGCTTTCAGCACGATCGACCTATGCGAGGACCCGCGTTGTGCTACTGCCCAAATTAACCAGAACCGGCGAAATGACTTACCCTCACCCCATTTACCATCCCACAATGTCTTCAAAACCAGGAGGATGTTGTACCTGCGTAATTTCGGCAAAGTCGAAGTACAGGTACAAGACGCTCTACGACGCGCCCAAGCCGATCTCGAGGATGCAGAAGAACGAAGATGCGAGCTTTTGCACAGTGGAACAATTCAGGCTCACTGGGACCTGGTGCAGAATGGACCCGTTTGTGTATCGTGCTCCCAATCTCTCACTTTCCCGTGTTGGTACTGTATTGAGTGTGAAGGTCAGTGTTTGATGATTGTCCGATCTGATCATGGCTGATTCATTTGAATGAAGGTAGCGTATTCGTCTGTGACAGGTGTGATATGAAAGGTGGTGTCTCTCATGGCACACATACCGCAACCCATATTCTCGTGCGATGTCAAGAGCAGATCACAGACAAAGGGCGAGTTTTTATTGAACACAGCCTAGTGTCTTTGGAGACACGGCTGGGAAAGATAGACGGGAAGCTGGACAACATGTTCCAAGCGAACGACAAAGCCATTACTCAGGATACAAGGATGACACAGCTGGAGAGCAAGCTGACGCGTATTGAGAAGATGCTTGAGTCACTTTCGTCTAGATTGCCAATAATGACCCCATGTACCCCTTGAGCTTCCTTAGGGTTAGATTATATTACAAAACAAAACAGAGACACAGAGGGGGTGATTCAAAAAAAGAAGATCAGCCATGCGGCAATCGAAGTACATCAGAGAAATGAGGGTTCAAACTTCATGAAACGCAATTCAATGGACTGACCCACAGCAACTTCTCAGAGACGATTATTCAACTACTGTACACAAATCACTGGAAATCCCAAAGATTGTGGCGACATGAATACGCATGCTTGCAGTGAGGGCACCGATACGAGAATTGTGTTTGTCGTCTGCAAATAGCCAAATTCAACTCTGGATAGATGTGCACATGTACCATGATGTACTCACGAAGGGGACAGTGATTCTTTCCTGTGACGGCCCAATTATTACATCCAGGAGTACGGCAACGTTGAGCAACCATGGTGTGTAATAAGGATGTAAACAATTTGTAGGGAGGCAAATTAAAATGGTTGGAGTGAAGTGCTGCTCCGGCTGAGACGAGTGAGATGCTCTGAATGTCTGAACAAGCACGCTTTTATATCTCATCCACATACCTGATCACGAATATTGCAATATTGCAGAATTTGTCAATGTTCAGTCCATCCAGCATACCAGGCAGTGTAAAGCTGCCATGTCTTGTACATTTTGCAATGGGTGGACATGACTCAGAACAAGTATACGTATGTGGTTTGTTCTGTTAGAATTCCGGTATGGGACTGCTCTCGAAACGAAGGATGGAATCACATACCTCAAGCAGCGCTTTAGCGCGTGGAAGATATGTTTTACACGAGACTCACAGCATATCTGTTCATCAGTGGAGAAATTACCAATGTTGGCCTCGCGATATGGTCGTTTGACGAACACAGAGTCATCAGAAACACATATTTTTCTGAATTTCTCATGATTGTGGGTCCATTGTGATGCCTCGCATGCAGACACAGATCCATCTCATCAACAAGCCATCCCATATTCGGGTCGTCGAATAACCAAATAAGTGTTTTTGGGCTCAGGGATCAGGAATATCTGTAAGCGGTATGATTGTATGTGAGCTGTGACTCAGTTTAAACCAGTGCGTTCCAATGCAAGGTCTTTCTTCGTTCAGTACTCTCAAACCACTGAAACGTAAACGATAACTCACTCAGAATGCCTCTGCATACCTGCACTATTTCCAGCTGTCCAAACCCTGCTGTTCGTGGAAGCGGCTGCCTTTTGTGTGGTAATAACCTGTGCGCCACACACCTCAAGTCAGAATCCCATTCTTGTCCACATTGGGAGGCGAGTACAACCAGAAGCCTAGAATGATCCGTCAACTCACATGTAAGGATCAGACTGACGAGGATGGGTGGCTGGATGCCTCCGAGCGCGCACGGAACCAAGAGATCACTGCTCTTCTTGCGCGTATCGACGTCGCAGCTTTGGTGGCCAGAGCAAGCAAATTACGGGGTGTCCCGTGCCAAGTTCAGCCGCTCTCATATGATCCGGTTTTATCGCAAAGTGTTATGGGTGGGATGAATTATCACGTAGACATACTGTTCGACGACAAAGTCGTTTGGATCTGTCGTATTCGTCGCCACAATGCCTCCTCGCCACCAGTTAAGCTGCAAAATCATAACTTACTCAGTGAGGCGGCCACCTTACAATTCCTCGCAAGCACTACAATTCCGGTACCAAAAGTCTTCGATGTCGCAATTGATTCCCCACAGAATCCTGTCGGTGTTGGCTACATCATGATGGAAAAGTTAGCCGGCAAGCCACTAGAGTGGTACAAGTTGGAGGGCGCAGGAAAGCAAAAGATTCTCCAGCAGTTGGCTCAAATCTTCATAGAACTCGAGAAACACTCCCTTCCCTCCATTGGCTGCTTGCGTCCGGAGGATTCATCTCGACGTGTTGGCCCACTGATTGCACAGGCAGCCGCTGATGTTGCAGACGACGGGCAGCTCCGTCTACTGGGTCCCTTCAGTAGCAGTCTGCAGTATCGCATGTCCAGTGCTCACCAGCAATTGCAGCTCATCCGAAACAAGGAGGCGTACGTGAAGCACCCTATTGACGCCTACCTAGTGCATCGCTATCTCCTCGATCTCATGCCTTCATTTGTTACCGACGAGCGTGGCGCCCGCAGCTCATTCTATTTGAAGCACACGGACGACAAAGGAGACCACATCTTCGTCGACGACGATCTCAATATTGTTGGTATCATTGATTGGGAAGGTGCGCTGACGACGTCAAAGCAGGAGGCATTCTCCGCTCCACTGTTCCTCCTCGACGTCGGCGCATACTATGACGGAAAGAACGACCTCAGTGATGATGAGCAGCTCTTCGCGTCTATCCTAGAAACCGCAGGCCGTCCTGATATGGCGGCGCTTGTCCGCAACGGGCGCATCCAACATCGTCTGGAATTCTGTTTGGGCGGTGAAATTGAAGATACGGAGTCTTTCCCAAATATGCTGGCGGGCCTCCGTGCTGCATGTGGCGCCTCCGAACACGAAAACCCGAAGGAAGATTGGAAGATATGGAGGGACGGAGCGATGCGACGGTATGGAGGAGACGAATGGCTGCAGAGGACTCTTCGAGCCTGATGGTTGGTCTTCGAGTAATGTCACTAGTATACTTGAAGATTAATCATTGAGACGTAAGTACGTCAATGTCTATTAGTCTGGGGAATATTATCGCTATGAGACCACCAAATATTATGTGTAGTCTGTCTGAACGCTAACTGATATAGCTGAGAATGCTTGAACATCAAAGATTGAGATTTTTGTGCAAAAATACACCGAACATAAAACTATACAACGTCCTGCTCGCATTGCCTATCATTTGTCTGATATGGACACCCACCGTTTGCGAAGCTGCCGTACCATTACGCTAGTAAGGCAGCAATGAGCATCAGTGTTATGCGCATGCGGACCTATGCGGACGCATCAAACCACCATCTCGCCAATTGTCGTTTTTATGTTCGTGCATCCATCAGCCAATTCCTTTTCCTGGCTACACTCACCTTCCGTTGCGGCCACCGGCGATGTTGTGGCACACCACACAAGATCTATCACGCACACTACGACCCGAGCAACCGGCTTGCACGCTATACATAGATGCACCATGAGACACTTGTCTCGCTCCAAAGGGAGGGAAAGGACGGAATATGCCATGAAGTTGGTTATTGTTCACTATGATCACCCTTATAGAGCTAGATTGACCTAGTCCACCATAAAATAGGCACGAGTACATTGAAGACAATTACAGTGAATCCGCTTTTGTGAGAAGTTCTGCGGGTCAATAGTGCTATCGACTTCGCAGGTCTGTGTAGAGAAGCGTCCCTGGCAAATCTATGGGTGAGCTTCACGAGTCGAATCACCCCAAAAACCCCACACATCACTCCGATTCAAGTCAACATCGTATCGTAAATAAACTCACCTAGCATATGCAGTAAAAATATAGCTGTCCTTATTGCAAGAGAACCGTACCGAAGCGGATTACACATCATTCCGCAAGAGCCACATGTCATGACGAGAGTGCTGTCCGCTGACAGACTCCGGAAGTTCTTGACATGTATGTGCAATCGAGGCCTCGCGATGGCGGCTAGGTGGGTGTAGAGGGAGCAGTGATAGCTCAGGATGCAATGACAGCCTAGCGTCGTCATCGCAGAAGTTGGTGTCATTTACAGTGTAATGCACTCCCCGTGCGGCACATATATGTGCTTTTCACGAGATATGACCCACGAGTATGTGAATTGTCTCTCACCCTTGAAAGACGGTGGTAAGTCAACGATGCATCAGAACGTTGGGCCAAATACCTAGACAAATCCAACAATATTAAAGCACTTTCCGCGCCAAAAGCTATTACCTATCCAGGACATTCCGGTTGTACTTCTCAAGGAAACGTTTTTAATCTTCGAATACACTTCTGCAGTTAGTATCAGCCGACAATGAATTTGGACGAGCCATAAAACTTCCTGTAATCTAGAGTGCCATGAGTCTGTAAATTTCACGTCAGCAGTATCAAATACACGGCCGACGGCAGCGGACAGTAGCGAGATTCGCTTCCGGTGTCTGTTTATTTACTGTAGCGGCCCAGAGTGAGCCCGTGGCCAATGATGTTCGGGTCCATGATGTGAAAACAGAAAGTTTGTAAAATGACCGGGAAGAAGTCAGCATCGGTCGAGTGTCGACCATGGCAACATAGTTCGGACGAAATGGTACCGGAACAGAATTTTGAGAATCAAGCTTAGTCTAGTCAATATATTAGTAAGTACAGAGACTAGGGAAAGAAACCGTGTTTGAAGAACTATGCTTACTCGAATGTATGTTGCTGCGCGAACAGTAATGCTGTCAGAGTCGCAGTTCGTAGGACGCTGATGTCTTCACACTATAACTTGTGTGAAGACAATCAGCGACATACGAAAATGCGATCGCGACGACGCAATAGGCGCTTAATATCAGAGCGATTTTGCTGCGCTAATGATGATGACGGCCGATGACAACGGGCTGCCTTGACGATGGCCTATTGACACTTGCGCCATTTCGCGCCCAGTGAGAATAAGTAGGGCATCCCTGATTATAGCATTCGATGGCGTCAGTGAGGTAATGTTACAAAGAAGGTCCGCTTTTGAGTTCTGTATATCAATGATCGTATAATACTCCAAGCCGAGCGTGTCAGGTCATCTGGGCATCAAAATCCAACACTCAGGGCCTACCGAGTTTGATAAGGGACGATGAGGGACGAACCGGCATGGCTGATTGCTGCACGCAGTCCGCGAAGTAGCGAGCCTGCCACTGTACGCCCATGACGACCGGCCAATAACTCAAGCGCCACCGAATTAAATTCAGCGTTTATGTCAGACTTGACGGAGACGAGCTGCAGCAAGACAAACCTTTTACGATGGGGGCCCGAGGAGGTTGAGTGCAAGGCGTGTCACCAATCTTTTCGTCGTGACTCTCGACATTGAGATTATTGCTTTTGGTGGGCGCCGTCTCACGTGACAGTCATAATAGGATGGGCGCCAAGGCAAGTTACCACTTGCTCTCAGCCGTACACGCTCCCTCGGAGCTCACACGTAAACAGAGACTGCTTTTCAGTCAAGTCTTCCTCCTCAGTCCGCTTATGGCTTCTGTTCAGCCGAATTTCCCCAGACCCAACCTGTCACAGGTCGAAAGCATGTTCGTCCAGCGCCCAAGATACCGCAAACCTTCGTCTCCATCCATTCTCAGCGCTACAACTTCGGTATCAGTCGCTCGGCTTGTCCTAAAGGGCTGGTAATTGAAAGTGCGTCGGCATCCTTTTAGTGTGTGAGAGCGACCGGTCAGGCGGACATGCGTTACTGTACTAGCCGTACGGAATCTCGATGTCCTCGCCAAAGCATCTGCTCCGTCGAATTGGCGCTTCCGTCCTGGGCGAACATTCCTTAATCCCGTGCGTGGGTGCGTTTACGCGCATCTATTCACGGAGCTACGTGGTGCACTACCCCATTTAAAACAAGACTGGTCCAGCTCATGGTGCCGAGCCTTTCCGCAAAGACCGCAACCCCCCAATGGACACTCTCGTCTCTATCGTTCTGCTTGTGTCGTTTGGCGTTGTCTATGCCCTCGTTCGCCGTAGCAGAAGGACCTCGCTCGCACATGTCTTAGGCCCCGAGCCAGAGTCGTTCCTAATGGGTATGTATGTCTTTCCCCTACGCGACACTACGGGACTTGACGTCGTGGTTCGTGCAGGAAACCTCGCCCAGCTGCACGGAGGGCAGGCTGGCGATGCCGATTTCAGCTGGCAGGCGCGTTTCGGGGGAGTTGCTCGTATAAAGGCGCCGTTCGGCGTGCGTCACGTCAATCACTATGTCTACGCGATACACCTTTACTCACCCATATCATCTACAGGAGGATATGCTGTGGATTTCGGACCCAAAGGCACTTCAGTATATTTACCAAACCTCAGGCTACAATTTCCCCAAGCAGCCTGAACGTCGTGCCCTATCTCGGTTGGTGGGCGATCATGGTCTCACATGGGCTGAAGGTGAGCTTTGGTGCGCGATATTGGCAGGGGATACCTCATCATTGTTTGTTAGGAGAGACACACAAGCGCCAACGAAAGGTCATGCTTCCCGCCTTTGGAACACCCGAGTCCAAGGCTTTGCTTCCAGTATTTGAACACTACGCCGAGCGGGTGCGTTCCCATTCAATCGTCCTGATTCATGTCTAACTAGCACTCACAAGTAGGTCACCCTCAAATGGAGAGAAATTTTGGAAGCATTGCCGGACCGTACTAGTGTCCTAAATGTCACTCAGTTCATTGCTCCTGCTACACTGGACGCGATAGGGGAAGGTATGATATTTATATGGTGAAGCTTTTGAGGTTGTCTAAAACTGCTGGTGTCAGCGGCTTTTGACTATAAGCTTGGCTGCACAGAAGATTCAGGCAGCGAGCTTGGACAGGCGTACAAAAACCTCGTGTGAGTGGTCTACAGTCATGGTTTTCCATCTTATGTATTCATATGTGCCTCGACCAGCTCGGACATATTCGCTTCACCATCGAAGCCAAAACTTTTCTTCACTAGCGTAGCACATTATATGCCCATGTGTCTTACCGAGTATTTGTATGACATTCTGCCAGGCAAAAGTTTGGACAAAGCGCGGCAGAACAAGCGTGTGGCGCACAAGGTCGCTAATGAACTCCTGGAGACAAAGTCTGCGGCGCTTCTGCAGGGCAAAGGCAGTCGTGACATTATGAGCATTTTGGGTAACTATCAGATGTCCGGACCAGCAGCGTCAGTCAGTAGTTGACTTCATTGTGTTTGAAAGTGAAAGCCAACGCATCCGAAGATGAAAAAAGGCAGCTTTCTCATGCTGAGATGGTTTCTCAAATGAGGTACGCACTCCACACTTGTCCAACACGCGGTATTCATCCGTCCGGTGCAGGACGATCATGTTGGCAGGCCAGGAAACAACATCGAACACGCTCTCCTTCGCGCTCTACGAGCTGGCAAAACAGCCCATGCTTCAAGCACGCCTTCGCGCCGAGATTCGCAAGATGGAGCAAGCCATGCGCGAGCGCGGTGATGCGCAGATCACGGTGTCCGACTTGGAGGCGATGCCCCTCCTGCAGGCGTTCTTGCGCGAGGTGCTGCGCTTCCATCCCGTCATTCCGCATAACTACAGACAGACAGGTCGGGACGATGTCATTCCACTCGCAAAGCCGATCACGACGAGCAAGGGAGAGGTGATCGAGGAGGTACCGGTTCCCAAAGGGATGCGTCTGGTTTTATCCGTTGCCGCATACAACCGGTGAGTTCAACCGACTTCCTGTTTCTCGCAGTTCGCTGACCGGTACACAGAAACGAGGATGTCTGGGGTGCAGATGCGCATACGTTCAACCCGGATCGGCACTTCAATTTCTCGGGAAAGCGTGGACCCAATGTTGGCGTCTTTGGGAATGTGTACGCATACTTTGCACAACGTTCACTTCTGCTATTCACTGGTTGCCAACAGGCTCACCTTCTCTGGCGGCGTTCGTGCGTGCATCGGCTGGCGATTCGCGTAAGCCTGGTTTCTTCTCCTCATCATCAGTTCATGGCTGATATGATGGTAGCATATACGAAGTACAGGCTTTCATCGTGGAGCTCGTCTCCAACTTCGAATTCGCGCTCACGGAGGAAGTGAAGCGGCTCCGGCGCGAGAACGCTGTCGCGATGGTGCCCACGCTTGAAGGCGAAGCACACAAGGGCGTCCAGTTGCCGTTGAAGGTGTCGCTTGCTTCGCGAGATTGAGGAGGGACGTTCCACGTTCAGCTCGTATATGTACCGGCTTATTAGCTTACGCAAGTGGCTGGTAGTTTTCGCCATGTATGATTAGTCTTGACCCTAATATTTACCTCGTCCCCGAGGCATTTATCGATCGTGAAAACAGCTCAAGATATGATGCATGGCCGTCAGGACGACATCTCGCTCTCAGCGCCACTTGCGTGAGGGATTGAAGTTCAGTCTTATTCACTTTCTGCCAAGATCTTCAACGCACCTCCTTCCTGAATAATCACACACTCTATATTAAATACAAGGTGCTTATTCACGCTGCTCCGGCTGTGATCAAGAAGCCCGAGTATCATAGTGAAGCTTGAAGCTTGAAGGCTTACCATAAGTGTACTCAGCACCCACTGCTGGCACGTCGCGTGGCGTCCCAGAAAGGAAAGCTACATTGAGAATTCGAACTTGACTGTATACTTATACTTCCCCGAAGCGGAGAAGCCTGCAGATTTTTGGATGTCCACCTGCTTCAAATTGATCAGTTCGATTTGCCAACATTCGTAGGTCCATTTCGGCCTGTCAGACCCGGATCAGGAACTTAGTTTCGGCTTACTGATGGTATGCAGCGCTACCACTTCATACCATCGGCTATCATGTTCAACAGAAAGTTGCGCAGACAACACGCTTGATCGTATAAGATGCTGGTGTGTTCGAAGTGTGAGGGTAGAATCGAGAAATTGCGTTGCATTGCATCGTAGATTCATCGTCTCCGATGGTGGGTAGATGGATGCAACTGAAAACGGATTACTTATCGGCCGCGCAGACGATTCCTTTGTAAGCGAACTCTGCGACGCTCAAGGCGATACGTAGAAAGGTATACGTCTTGGCAGACACGCCCTCGTGAACTGAGGAGAACTGTAGTAGAAAATGCTCCCAGCTTGGAATACAAGATCGAGTCGGTCATCCATGATATATTCACTCAGCCTGCAGGTAGGATGGTGTAGATGGCTGAGGGACGAGAATGCACGGCTTAATTCGCGGCTGGAGTCTCTACTGGGGTCATCCAATACACTATTAGCTTATCCTGCTCGCGGCTCGGCGTCCATTGATATGAAAGTTCAAATGTATCAAATTTGAATGGTCTTCCGACATATACTTATCTGGGGATCAGAGTAGTGAAAAGGTTTCTGGTGGGACTTGGCACAGAGGAAGCTATCTTAAGCCACTCATGATGATGGAAAATCGTGGAATGTCGATGAGGATGCTGGCATGACTGTCAATCTCTTACATGTTGCAATTGGCCAACAGCCTCTTGTTAATGGGATTATGCACCCGTTACCTCAATTCACGACCACTGGCTGCTGGAAAGTCCAAGTCGACATCGATCGACACAGCAATCCGGCGATTCCAAAGAAACAAGGCTAAAATTAATCCTGGCATTCTACTGGATCTGTAATCTTCGTAAGCAAACCTGAGAATATGTGAGTTCTTGGCTTCAGTCATTCTCACCTTCTATCGCGTGTCTAGTCCGAGTCTGACCAAGCACATTGGAGCTTCTCGACCGATCGCACTATAATACGCCCCATGTTGCTGCCCCCATCCCCCCTTACTCTCTTACATCACAATGAAGGTTCTCATAATTGGGTAAGGCGTAACCCGAACTTCGCTATATATGATCATCTACATACTTACTCACAATTGAACCGTAATAGTGCGTCTGGGTTCATTGGCCTCCCGGTTGCGCAGGCGTATGTTCGTGCGGGGCATATCGTGTATGGTGTCACGCGCTCAGCAGCCAAGGCGAAACAGCTAGCTGCCGAAGAAAGTGAGCACAGTGATGCTGCATAGCTGTACCCTACTCACCAACCTCCCCAGTAATCCCGATTGTCGCAGACACAGCCGATCCAGCCCCTTGGCTTCCTCTCGTTGCGACCCTCGATGTCGTGATTGAAGCAATAGGGGGCGCACAGGTAAAGGCACTGTCCGAGACACTTCTCAAGGCCACCACAAAAGCTGCAAATGAGTATCGTCCTGCTGGTGCACCCAAGTTGGCATACATCTACTCGTCGGGCAGCTGGGTCTACGGGGACAGCCGCGCTACCACCATCACCGATACAACCCCCATAGTGAAGCCAGTCGAGCTCGTCGCCTGGCGGCCGGCGCTGGAGCAGCGCATCTTGACGAATTCGGTACTCAATGGCATCGTGATCCGCCCAGCATTGCTTTATGGCCGCTCGGCGTCGATCCTAGCGACACTTTTCAAAACGGCATACGAGGGTAAAATCTCATGGTACGGGACCCCGGGCGGGAGGTATGGGTTGATTCACGCCGACGATCTGGCCGATTTATACCTGCTCGTCGGAGAGAAGTCGTCCATCCTTGGCGGCAAAGTGTTCGCCGCCGCAAATGACTTCACTGAAAGTGTTGATGACATCTTGCAAAAACTTGTGCAGGTGTCCGGGGCGAAAGGCTATGAATACGTCCCGCCCTGCAACCGTACGTATTCTTGTGTGTATTGTTCTGTATTTGTGCCAACGTCATGCACTTTCAGTGTTCGAGAGTGCCATCACGACGACGTCGCTGCTTCGCCCATATCTTGCTCGCTCACTGCTAGGCTGGCAGCCACGCAAAGCAGGTCTGGTGGACAACCTAGAGGTCTATTACAATGCTTGGAAAGCCAGCGAGGGACTGTAGACTCGAGTTTTGTCATACAGGAAGCCCTGCGGATGTAGCAGATCATAGTTAATGTGTCACCAAATTCGAGGACCATGTATTTTTCTTCTATTTGAAGGTGTACCATAAATCAAGTGCGCACTTTGAGAAGCCCAGGAGAACTGCGCAGTCGTAGTAAGCACGTCGAACAGACGTTTGAACTTGCATGCGCGAGGTCCCCTTGAATATCAGAAAATAAATGAGATATAATCTGTGTGTTTTCTGATACGAAAGAGACTTGAAGAGAGGGGGAAAGCCAAAAGGACCAGGTTCAAGAGTCCGAAGCTCGGAGGGTACTTGAATAGGCGCGCGCTGAGCCTTCGGGCTTCAGCCACCTGACATATAACTTGACGTTCTCCGAAACCTTCTCAACGTCGAGTTGATCCGCCTCGTTAGCGGAATAAAAGAAAGTGCGAGTGATTTTACTACGCGTGCATCCGGAAGGGCTAACTCTCATATGTTTTGTCTCAGTAATATTATCTCGAATTTCTGCAACCGTTGCGCCGAGGCCGCTGAGCTACACCCCCTCCTTTAAGCTTCTGGCCCATACCAAGCCCTTCTGATCCAGCCTTGGACTTATCATATATAACCAGCGATTCACGAGAAGAAGCTTCGACCATCTACCATGTCTGATTTGTATCGTTCAGCGCTACAAGCACGCATCGCGAAGCTGCCTATGCTTCATCCAGAAGACGTCGACGAGGATGAGGATGAGGAGGAAGAGGCGACAGACACTCTTGGATCACTCCCTACTGGCGCTCCAATGCACGTATGATATCTCCTTACTTCAAAGGCTGGGGTTAGGTCAGTTGTGAGCCACTTGTGCCTTTGACAGCGCGCCGTTCGAGAGCGAGGTGCTTTCCAGTGGTCTATCATATCGCACTCCCTTTTGATGAGATGTAATATGATGCGGCCAAGGAAGATGAAATCTTTGCCCGAATCGTCCTGTGCTATCACGGTCACTCGAGTGGCTTGCAGCTACTCCAACCCCCCTTTCTTCTCACTCTAGTACTTCGTACTAACACACTCCTCAGGCCTACGCGTGCACCGTGGGCCCCGCGCAAGCGCGCTCCGAACGTCTCGTTCGCACCCATCTCAGCCTCTGCATTCTTCGAGCAGGCCACCCAGGTCGAGGTGCCTGCGTCCGAGCTGGACGTCCGCGCGTACTACACCCCGCCGCGCCTCGTCAATGGCACAGTTATTGTGTGTCACCATGGCGCAGGATCATCTGGACTGACGTTCGCGTGTATGGCCAAGGCAGTGGTTGACCTGAGCAAGGGTGAGTGTGGAGTTTTGGCGCTGGACTGTCGCGGACACGGTGCGTGCGGTTAGGATCGGGGAGCGTTGGAGAGACCCTTACTGATGGTGTTGATTGCAGGAAAGACGACACGGACGACGGAGCCTGCACCGAGCGAGGAAGATTATGCAATTGAGACTCTGACCGCAGATTTCGTTAGCATCTTAAAAGTCATCTTCCCCGATCCGGCTACGACGCCCACTCTACTGGTATGCATCGCGTCGATGTTTGTTTCATCTGCACTAATCGTGCATAGCTAGTCGGGCACAGCCTCGGCGGATCTGTGATCGTGCGTGCATGTCCATTGCTGCAGGAGTTCAAATACCGCATCACGGGCGTCGCAGTGCTTGACATTGTCGAAGGTATGCCGTTGTCATACGTCACGCCGGTTATTTGCTGATAGCTCCTGCAGAATTCACCCTCGAGGCGCTGCCCATGATGCACAATCTGCTTGATGCGCGGCCAGAGGGGTTCGGTAGCCCCGAGGAAGCAATTGAGTGGCAGTAAGCATGCTTCCTTCGTTTTCACACTCGCACAAACGAAAATGGTTCACAGCATCAAGACTCACGCTTTGCGAAACACGGATTCTGCTCGCATCTCAGTCCCAGCTATCATCAAGCCCGCGCCTCCGGATGCACCTCAAGGCACGCCTGCATATGTCTGGCGCACTCCTCTACATTCTACTTCGCCTTACTGGACAAGTAGGTCTTCCTTGCTGCCCGCTGCGCTCGTGCTCATCAGGATGTCCGATCATTAGGTTGGTTCACAGGGCTATCGGGAAAGTTCCTGACGGCACGGACTGCTCGCCTGCTCGTTCTTGCGGGTACTGAACGTCTCGATAAGGAGCTTATGATTGGACAGATGCAGGGCAAATTCCAGCTCGTGGTCATATCTGGAGTGGGGCACATGTTGCAGGAGGTGTGTTGATGGTTCTGTTCCGACATGCACACTGACGTATATATCCAGGACGACCCGACTCGCCTGGCGGAGGTCCTCGTGGAGTTCTGGAAGCGCAACGAGCGTGTCATCGCGGGGATCAAGAAGGTCGGGGACCGATGAGAATTTTCAAAATGGACAAATGTATGAGACTTCCTTGGTGGAAGTTAAGAACAAGGATTGAATATATGGACTGGAAGAAGCACAACACACATGTACAATCAGCACACTATCCCGCAATAAACATTTTGTTACTTGCATTCAATCTATATACTATGATATTTTTTCCTCAACACGCTTCTCTTCCTCTTCCCTTCCTGTTCTAACAGGAAGGCCGGAGAATTTCGAGCGTAACACCTCGTACTTCCTCCGCTGAGCGGATGACACACTCGGCTGCACTTTTTGCAGAGCGGCAATGAAGTCGGCCACCTGTACTTCCACCCGAACCTCTGGCTGAATTCCTTCCCGAGTCGTGTCGTCTTCCACCGCATCCAGCATACCCAGCGTACGCTTCAGCGCGATGACCCCTGCCTCCCGCACGAGCGCAGCGAGGTCCGCCCCGCTGTATCCGTCACACCTCTCCCTCGCAAGGGCCTCCACTGCCTGCTGTGTTGCTGCCACGTCACCTAGTGGGACCTTCCGCGTTAACGTCCGCACGATCTCTGCGCGCTCGTCAGGCAAGGGAAGGTCGACATAAAGGAGCTTGTCGAGACGACCAGGGCGACACATCGCCGGATCGATCATATCCGGGCGATTAGTGGCGGCAATGACATATACACTCTTGCGCGCATCGAGCCCATCCAACTCCGTCAGCAGTGTGTTGACTACGCGGGCAGATGATTCCGACTGAGCAGAGCGGACATTGAGACTCAAGGACGAAGGATACGAAGGCATAGAAACTCACGAGGCTGTCGTCGCGGCGCGGGACAAGCGCGTCCAGCTCGTCGAAGAATATCACGCATGGCGAAGACGCTCGTGCCCGCGAGAATACTTGTCTGACCGCGCGTTCGCTCTCGCCCACGTACTAGGCGGAAAAGAAATACATAAAGTAAGGCAACGTGAGATGAAGCAAGGAAATAATGAGCGAACCTTGTTCAGCAGCTCCGGCCCCTTCACACTGATGAAGTTGGCTCTCGACTCGTTTGCGACCGCCTTGGCAAGTAGCGTCTTTCCGCATCCAGGTGGGCCCCATAGTAGTACGCCGCACGCCGCCTCGATGCCTACCGCGCTAAATAGCTCTGGCCGTCGAATGGGCTGTACGATCGCCATGTGCAGCTCTTCGCGCGTTCCATGGAGCGCGCCGACATCCGTCCATGTCACATCTGGCACTGTTGCAAAGCCCTCGCGCTTCGCTGACGGCTGTACTTGTTTCAGCGCGAGAGTGAAATCTGCGAAGGTGATACACAGCGGGGCGAGCTGTGCTTCAGTCAGCGGGTCCGGGTGCGCACGGAGGAAGTGCACGATGGAGCTCGCAGCGGTGTGTGTGGAGACATCAAACGTCGAGAAGGGAACATGTTTTGTGGGAAAAGGAGGTGTTGGCTGAGGGGAATCCACTGCCATCGATGCATCTCCGTCGGTATGCTGAAATTCGATATTGTCAGGGAGAACAAGAGTGCCGTCAGAGATCTCTTTGAAGATGCGTTTGACGGCAATGATGCCTGCGGCTCCTGTGAGCGCAGTGAGATCCGCGCCAACGTATCCTGGTGTTGCCTTTGCAAGGGTAATGTAATTGAAGTCGCCCTCTAATCGCAATTTTGAGCACAAGACGCGCAGGATCCTGAAGTGAGATGTTAAACCATGCCGCGTGAAATCTGGAAAAACACTCTTACTGTGCTCGCGCTTCGTCGTCAGGAACTCCCATGCCAATTTCATGGTCAAATCGACCGGCTCGACGTAGTGCGGCGTCAAGCGAGTCGGGACGGTTTGTTGCCCCGATTACAACTATAGGCTTATTGTCGGTCTTATCCCACGACATGTCTTTTGCCATGATAAGCGGGTACCCTCGAACAAAAATACGGAAAAGGCATACCGTCCATACATGTGAGAAATTGAGCAACAATTCTTCTCTCCATCTCTCGCTGTGCGCTCTCTCGTTTGGGAGTAATTGCGTCAATTTCGTCGATAAACAATAGGCAAGGAGCAACGCGCTACAGACGAATGTTTTAATTTCAATAGCAGCAGCGCCAAATGGGGCTGATTGACCTTGGCTTCCTCGAAGGTATCTCTCAGCGTCTTTTCCGACTCGCCAGACATCCCTGACACGATCGACGGGGCAGATATATTGATGAATGGGACACCGAGCTCCTACATCGACAGATGAGACACACCAGATACATGATAGCGTTAAACCTTACCCCGGCAATCGCATTGGCAAGTAGCGTCTTGCCGCAACCAGGAGGACCATGAAGCAACACACCTCGTGGGGGTTGAACGCCAGTATGAATGTAAATCTCGGGGTGACAGAGAGGCATTGCCACAAGCTCCATCATCTTTTCAATACATGTGTCAACGCCTCCGAGATCCGATAGCCGAGTCGACGGAGGGCTGTAATCTTTTGCAGTGCTACCAGACGGAGCGCTAAGCCTAGCCCTCTTGTTGCTGTCGTCGCCGGCTTGTCTTGATGTGCGACTTCGTCTCTTGCCACTTACAGGCGCAGAATGCATCTCGGAGACTCCAGGTAGTGTCTCATTCTCCGTAGGTTGTGGTATCGAAGATGGACCAGGGGTCTCAACGTCCTGCGCTCCGATGAGAGATGCAGGATCTTCTTGAAGACTATCCTCATTCGAAGGTGCTGGCGGAGTCAACGGAACTGGCGCAGCGTTCAAGTTGAGTTTTGCACGTCGGTGTGTCGACCAGAGTCCTTGCATGGATTTGTTGAGGGCATTCGATCCCTACCTGAACTTTTGTGAGCACGCATCTCAGGACGATGGCAAAAACGCACAGCTTTCTCCATTGCAACACCCGCCAGCGTTTCGTTCTCAAAGAAGCAAGAGGCAAGAATTGGGCGAGAACGAAAGTACTTGACAAAAACTTCGACTCATGCGAGCGGCCACTGGCAGTTTAGAGCCGCGGATCGGCATAACCCGAGAGAAAAGAATGGGGCGTTCTGATTGGCTGTCCGTGCGGCAAGTGGTTGAACACGAACGATTTCTTTTACATCTTCGCCCACAGCTTTCGGCATGATAAACAAGAAAAAACTCATTGAAAAGGAAAAACTACAGAACAGGTGCTCCATTGCTGAGCTTTCCCACTAATCTTTCAATCATCTGCTCCATGCGACTTAAACGTTCATCAACTTGAGACAACCGTCCATCCATCCCTGCCAGACGTTCTTCTACCTGACCAAGCCGTCCCTCTAGTCCAGATAGCCGTCCGTCCGTCTGATCAAATCGTGCGTTTATTTGGCCATCTTGCTCTGTTAACCGTCTATTTAGCTGCGTGAACTGCTCCTTCATGACCGCCTCAACGATCTTCTCTACCGGTACGTCAGACACAGGATCGGCATGGCATTTCACCAACCCGTGCGTCTTCAGGTGAGTACCATGGGTAATGCCCCCCTCGGCATCGCAATCGTTACAGATAAAAACCGGATCTGCCCACATTTTAGAGAAATCGTCATTCTAGGGCATGCATGCACTTACCGCTGCATTCGAAACAGTACCAGCATGGCCGTTTTAGTTCCTTCGAACAGTTGATGCATGCTATCACATTCTTCTGGTCCGTTTGCGTGGTAATCTCTGTGCCACTTTGCAATTGTCCGACAGTGGCGAATTTAGCTTTCGCAGCTGATAGAGCTTCCCGCACCCATGTGGAGACCCTCTTTAGCTCTATGGGATGAACCCGCGTCCTGACCTTGAACATATTATGCGTTGGAACGTGGGGCGACGTAAGCTTGAGGTCTGAGACGCTATCTCTGCTAATGGGTATTTCCGCTTTCAAGCATTCTGGGTCCTCACAAAGGTCGAGAGTCTGGTCTTTGTCGACATTTCCGCAGTCGAGGCAAACCGTTCTAGCTCCTCTAATCTCGTTGCTACCCACGCAGCAGCGGCATCCCGTACCTCTATAAAATAGTCGCAGAGAGGGAAAAGTTTGACACAAACGTGGTTCAGCATGTATCCAAATATATAAGTACTGTTTTGAACTCACATATGGACGCACACAACTTGCTCCTGATGCACCATAATGGAGTAGTAGTAACGGCCATCTGACGGGCTGATGATACGGGCTATGTTGCAGAGCTCCTCTCTCTCGTCGGCGTTCAATCCACGGCCGTACGATGTCCTGAACGTCAGTTCGATGTAGCGTTGCCGTGTATCCCTGCGCTTCTTGAAAAACGACCAAGCGTATCGTTCTCGTAAAATTTGTTGGCGGATGGCGGAACATGCAAAACGCCACAATGCGCGGGTCTTGTTCTCTCTCATCTCTGCAGGTGAGGGGCGGAAGGAGAGTATTTCAGGCGACATTCTGGAGAAGAAAAAACTGCCTTTCCACCCAGTGTACTCTCCACGGAATGTTCCGTGAATCATAGTCTTGTTCTCGTTCAACTGCCCTGTTATGTAGAGGTCGGATTTAGACCAGGCCTTGAGGGTCCCAGTGCAACATATACAGCCATCTAGATCAGTCGTCACTTCACCGGTAAGTTCCCAACTCAATCCTCCTCCTGGAACGTCTGTGTCAGGCAGGATTACCGAGTCTTCGAAACTCAAACCACTAGGCTTTGACGGACGCAGATTTACAGAGAATGGTAGACGACACGGATATCGTACAGTGTTGTAGAAAAAGACCGTCCAAGGTCCTAGTCTGCAAAGGTTCACATATTAGAAATAGAAGAAGCAACATTGTGTATGGAGGCATACACGGAGCCCAGTAGATCATCTACAGTCGTCGAGTCACCTTCCTTCGCAGGTGCTTCTGGTTCGATAGGAGGGGGATAGTAGCCGGTGGTATCAAATCGGGTCTCGTCCTCCAGAGAATACTTCAAAACTACTTCTATGGCTTCATCTTCGTCTTCTGCACGATATGAATTGTCCCGTCTAGCCGGGAGAAACAGTTTCGACAAGCCTTCAGCTGTCGCAGTCTTCCCCGAGTTATAGTAGTAGTCGTACTTATAAGAGTACTTTTTGAAAGTGCGTCCAAACATACGAATATCTTCTAGGACTTACAAGCTGGCAAGCCGTCTGTCTAAAACGCTTATGTGGCCTTGTGTCCTGACGCCTGTAGACCTCTATATACCCTACTTTTAAGGTGAATCATACTTTATCGGGGATGCCCACGTACGTTCCAAGGTATCCACTCGATCATCCACAGCTTTAAAGATTACGTTGAAATTATTACAAGACTCTGTGAGGTTACGTCTGTTGATGCGCTCAGCTTGGCATGTCTTGATGATCGCGAGGTCACGTCGCATTAACAAGTAGATCAAAGGGAAAATGAACTGAAATTGGCCATTCAGTCACTACTGCAGACCGTGTAAGGATTGTATTCCCATCACTCACTCTCTCGATCCTTCCTGGGCCCGTGATCAGGTTAAGAACAGTCAAGTCTGTGATTGCGTATTTAACATCCTCAAGATTTCGGCGAATGCGGTCCTCTTCGCCGTTCGTATAATCAGAGAAAAGCCCCTGCACTTTCCGAGGAACGGTTGTTCCCTGAAAGGATGCCGTAAGATATACAACGGTCCCATAGACCAGATCCAGATACTGGTCCACCCAAAAGCGATTACTCTCATGAACATACGACTTGAGCGTAAAGATTCGTCCTATCATCTTGTGTATCTTGTTTCGGTAAATTGTAGCCGTACTCTGCCAACCTGCAAAATTGACAGATCAGGGTGGCTGACCACGAATAGGTGAGCGACAATAACCTATTGCCCAATACGCTAACCAACGTGGAAAACTAGACGTTCAATCGATTAGAACCTCCAGGTCGTTCTGAACCCGCAACTCGTACCTCCAATCCACAGGCCGCATTCTGGCAAAGGTGTTGGCCTCTGCCACTGTGATGAAACCCGAAGCATCATCATCGAAGGCTTCAACGAGTGATTGGGCCTGCTGCATGGTAATCCATTCGAGTGTCCAAGCATCAGGATCTTCTTTGGATATAATTTGTGAAGATTTCTCTTCTCCGTCCTTTCCCACCCCTTCTTGATAATAGTCGGTGAGAGCCAATACGAATCGACGAGCCTCGACGCTGCTTCTCCATCCCTAATCAAAATGTTCTAGTCAGTAAGTCTAAATACAACTATAAATTGGACGAACCATTTCTTTCCAGATAGTCTGCAAGCCCTGATGACGTTGTGGATGCTGAATTCAGCGACACGAGCTGAGAAGTGTATCATACGACGTACAGTATCAGCAAGCTTTTCATGTGGTCCAGAGGTAAGCACTTCGATGACCCGGTCGTTTTCACGATGTACTATCCTCCCAACTTCTTCGATGATGTGCTTCTGCTGCATCTCAAATTTATGATCAAAGGCTTGAAAGTTTTCTTCAATTATGATTGTGGGATCCTGGAGCTCGCGCTGGATGCGATCATTATCGGGTTGATTGCTGTCGGAGCCCAGTTGTGATCGAAGCAACTCCTGCAAAAGCTGCTCATTATTGAGCGCAGCGTCACGCCCACCCTTCTCTTCAATCTCGTCGCGCAGTGCCTCTTGCTCTGGAGGACATTGTTGTTTGAGGAAATTTACGATCGTCTCCGTCCTGTAATCAACCATGTTCGAAAATCAACACAATCCAGCGAAGGTGAAGTATTCACAAATACCAACATCTTGGAAAGATCATCCATTTTTGTGGTAATATCGTCTATCTTGCGGGCCATATGCACCGCAAGAGCAAACTCGAATTCAGATCTCCGTTGAGAGAACAGCTTGACCCAATTGACGAACACGCCGTCCCATAATGGCCCCTTGAGGACTTTCGCTATTACGGACATCTTCGAATAAGCATCGCAGGTATTACCGCATTTCTTGATATCATCAGCAGTTCTCTTGACCAAATCTTGAAGACGACCTTCGATGGATACGCCGTCAGCACCTACGACTTTGTCGTCACGTACATCTTTCAATCTGTAAGAGGAATCAGTTTTGAGTTGTTTTTGTGTGGTTAGTACGAACTGAAGCAACACTGCGATCATATCCCTCATCTCTACAAAAAGAACTATGACTTTCTGATCGTTATCACGGCGTTTCATTTCCAGCGTATACACTGCTTTGAATGCAAGGACCGCAACTAGGAATTGTGCACCACTCAAGTTCTACTTCAGTTAATATAATCAGATCCTACGCACCCTGAATGAACGGATGAATCTTCCCAATCTCATCTAGCGCTTTAACGAGTGTGGGAATACTATCAGCGAAATTGGTCAGTGCACTATCAAGGGCCTGTTTTGCGCCACTGTCGTTAAATGCGGCTTTGACTGGTTTATAAAGAGCGGTTATGATGTTTTTCTGGTCAGCGACTGCGAGAGCTGCATCCTCTGTAACGCCATCGCATCATGATGTCAACTACCAAAGTTGCAATATAGTTTACCTATGCCGTCCACAACCTTTTCCGATTTGGTCTCGGATTCACCGTGTCGTCCTAATACAACCGTAGCAGAGGCAATAGCGCTGTCAATCTCATGGTCGTCGCGCTCATGGTCGTCGCGTTCATTTCCATCCTCTGCAAGAAATGGTGTCAGCATTGAAGTCCCTTCTGTACATAGAGACTCGAGTGTTGATAAGCAACATCAGAGAGGCCATATAAGCATTAAGTTCCAGAAAGCAATGAGGCATCAAAGGTAACTGACTCGAGTCATTCAATGTTGGAATCGACAACTTATGATCCTCATCATTGAAACTTATCGTCGCTTTTTTGCTACTCTTTTTGAATACGTGCATAGTGTAGAGGTATTCAAGCAGGGGTGTGAGGGCAGAGATTCGACATGCATCGCATGGCAAGCTTCTTAATGAACATGCATCGACAAATGTGGATTAAGACGTGGTTCGGCAATCGGCAGCAACGGGTCCGTAATATCTGCGCACTACCTCACATGCCATAACACCCGGACGAGCATCCTCCGACATGAATGTATCATTGTATTGATCAGCAATTCTAGTCTGGGAGTAACTTTTAGAGATACGCACGAGATCCAGAAATTTCGCAGCACAATGCACATCAGTTGCATATCAGCGAGGCCAGCTGATGAAGCAAATACATTTAATTATCACAAGTAAAGCAAAGATCTAAGCTGCCAGTGCGGCAGCCTCTTGTTCTCTATCTCCGCCATCTTACCCAGCGATGCACCGCAAATGACAGGTTAGTGCGAGCGCTCCGCCCCAATTGATGAGAAGTTCTTCGGATTGATATGTGCCATCTGGCGTGTGGTCCTGTTAGTCTCACGAGGTAACTATGACCGGTTTCAAAGGAGCCTGCCCAGCTGTAATGCGTGTGGCCAATTATCGGCATGAAGCCAGACCTCTCGTGTAAAGTGTGTGATTTCAGGGCGGAGCGATTTCTATGAAAACAGAGGTTTGAACACTGCGCGAGCCGTGACGAGGCATCAAGAGACAGTGGGAGACATCGGGTCCGGCCTTGACAAAATGAACACGATCGCCACGAATCGGATGGTGTATCATGGATACAGTAAGGCGCGACGCGCAAGACGAGTGGTTTGTGAAGGGTGCAATGGTACGGGTATCAAGCTGATGGGTCGGAGTGGCCAGGAGCACGCCTTGCCAAGCCCGGCCCGAGCAGCATTTTTGCCTGTGTCTTCAAGAGTCCATGGAAAGGCCCGGCCCGTTCCTCTATCGAATATTCTGGCCAAATACGTATGCATACTCTCAGCACATTCACACGTCTATGCCACTTATATTTCGTTACGCATGACAGCTGGGATATGCACATCCCAATCCTTTCAACAAGACTGGCATCATCCACTTGTGGTGAATGTTTGGGAGTGCAGTCCTTTCATTCCTAATATTCATGGTCAGATTGTGCTGGTTGCCTGCTTCATGCTATTGAATGCCCACAATCTCCACTTTATGGCGTTTCAGAAAGTCGTTGGTGTCTGGCTATTTGCCAATACCGTTCATTTCGAGTCAATGTGTATGGAGTTCTTGGACGCCGAGGCCTCAGTGGCTTATACATCCGCCCTCAACTTTCTGCATGCATTATCGGACTCGAAGTCTGCTAAGACAATCTTCCAGAAAGCACCGTCGTATGCGTTCTCAGCAATCTATGACAACATCGGTCGGAAGGCGCAGGTTTAGGACCCTGACTTTGGAGAGGCGGACTTTACAATTATGGTACGGCAGCCACATATCTCGAGCTTGAAGTTTGTGATGCGGAGACCCTTGATATCGCGACAATTTTAGCAGTCAAGTACCTAAGTAACGTCGCTAACTTTAGGCTGGATTACAGACCGAAGAGGCACCTCCAATGACATAATCGACAAGAACACTGACCTGCATCATGTGCATCTTCCAAGAGGACGACGACACCATGCGCCGCCGAATTTCGGGACTACGGGCTTGTCTACCGCCCCACGCCATCTCGGTGTTACTGAAACAGACGTGTTGACGTTTGGGTAGTTCTCCCCAGCCTTGATTTTCAAGTGGGCCCAGGCTTTCCACCAGCTTGAAGGCATTCCTCACCATACTAAAAAGGTGCACGAAGAGGTCAACAACCCAAAGAAGAGGCTAGAGCAATTATCCTTACGATTAAAATTGCGTCCTCCAGATGTGGGGGGCGTCAATCCGCTGGCCTTCTTGAATCGCCATTCCGTTGGCAAACCAGCTAATGGCGAGCTGGCAGTTCCAGCCCGGTGCATTGCCTACGACTATAAGTCTACCGGATTTGTCGTAGCAACGTCAGTACTCCTTTTGATAGACTGTAATAGTGGTATGCACGCTATTATAGCTTGTAATTGTCGCTGTACCGTATGAGACATCAAGATCGCAAGAATCCATCGAGCTACATTGCCCACATGTTGGTCCTATTGATATTATGAGGGAATGTTGAGTACGCCTACACCGCAGAACCAATTGGGCAGTTTATCACGCTGACATGAGTGGTCTAAGTGTCCGTCAAACTGAAGCCCTCTGAATTGTACGGAGTCAGAAAAAATGCGGAAATCCAGTCTGTAGTTGACTATCACCTAAAGGGAATTGCAACGCTATTGCGCAAGACCTGGGTGGCTGAATCCGGGCTCGTCGTATAACAAATGTTCCTCCACACGACGTAAGGAGTGCTTAGGACCCACGAGCTGAGTTCTGCGCTTGTCACAAACTCTCCGATCTCCTCATATGGTCACTTGTATGGCATACCTGTAGATGGGTCTAACCCGTCCAGCATACACTCAGTAATAAGACAGAAGTGAACGCTCCCGGCAGGGAGCGGGGGCAGATTGACGCAATTGAACGACGTCTGGATAACCACGGGCTGTGCTACCACAAGAGTGTTAGATAGTTGGAACCCGGGCCTTGTGGGGTCTCCGTTCGAGTCGTAGTCAAGAATGGAGTCCTGCTCGTAGATGGATGGATAAAGGAGGAACGCATATACAATTGCAAGACGGTGAGTCTGGCCTGACGTGCTCTGGATGGTCGTACCGCGAAGATACATGTACTTGGACATTCCCTGGTCCAGTACCTATGTTATGATGTAGTGAGATATGTGATAAGACGAAGACGACATAGATCGTCCGCCTACAATCGACTCTTGATCACTGATGCGGACAGTGTAGTTTGCTACTCCAAGAATAGAGCCCACGTTGGCAGCCTGAGCTTGATGTCCAAGGGGCTGTATATCTACAAGAAGCTTAGTTTTCGTATCCATCACCTTGACAAGTGAAACAACATACCGGGAGAATTGGATCCATTTTCACTCCTTGGGAACGTGTCCGTGTCGGATACCGACGCCCTGAAGTAGAACAAATAACCACTGCCCGCGGTGGTAGCAGCATCATACGTGTGAACAGCAGCGTTGACGAGTGCTCGAGTGGCCCGACACTCCGTCTGCTGTTTCACTCACTGATCAAAGGGACTACGCATTTAGTCTAGATCTGACTAGCACTGACAGTAATTCCAAGCAAGCACTTGATACCTGGTGACTCGACGGTGTTCAAGAAATTTGATGCCGAAAACATTCTGAGCGTTAGCACCACCGCCGAAGGACTCTGTACATCGGCGTACATGCTGTCTTATTTAGCTTGAAGTCAACGGTTGAGCGGCGGGCAGTGTGTGACATACACAGTTGGCGCTCGTCCTGCTCGTCGCAAGCACTGTGCTTCGCGCGAGATATGTACACCAGACGGCAGACAGTCGGCCACCGCCGCTCGCAGCTGGCAACAGGTGTCATCGAACGGGAAGCACGTTTCAAGACTGCGAAGAAAGGTGGACTAGAGTGCGAAATAGAAGGACCAGGTGTTTCGGAATTGCATGTTCACGAACTCAGAGTCTGATTTAACTATCCACAATCCATTGTCAGGAAACCACAGAAATAATGATTGAGATGCTACTGTATTGTAAAACGACAATGCTAATGGGATATGGCCACTCAGCCTGACCATGAACACCATCATTTGCGATAAACTGCGCGATTGAAGGTATCAATATGTGTATGTGTGGATGGGACTATGCGTTAATGGATCATGATGTAGATGCGTAAGGTGTAGATTCCCCCGCGCTCCTCCGTCGGAGGTCAAATCCACCTGCCGTGGGATGATGTGAAGAGGGTGATCACTGAAGGCGAGAGGACTGACACCGCCCGCACGGAAACACCGCGGACCACGATGCAGGCTGAGGCGTTAGATACCTATGTCGATGGCAAGAAATACCCTTGATGGTACGAACAACGATTGGTCTATGCGTGCGGCGTTGGTTGCTGGACAGGCAACGGTTGTCCCTGTATATCCTACAATAAAATATCAGCCATTCCGCCCATGTGGATCACAGGTTCACATGAGGCAAGCGGAAGAAATATGCATATGAAAACATACCATACGGGGCCGTTTAAGCGGTCTTGGGCGCACACCCGCACTGCCTGCCTTTGCCCCCACAATTGCTGCTGACTTCCCCTGCACTACCACATTTCCATTCGAATGTGCGCTCTGACTATGCGTACCCACCGCACCGGCCCCACTTCCATTCACACCGGCTTGTACCTGAGCTCTATCAATAGAGTGCTCGCGCTCGCGCTTAACGCCTCGCGGCGGGACATTGGGATCTGGGCCGGCCTGCACAGGAAGCACAGGGCCAACTTGAGCAACCCGCACCGGCATTGACGCAGTCGCTATGGCGGGACTAGGGCCAGAGGTGACGCTAGATGTGGTAGTGGGGCCGGGAGTTGGAATAGACTGTGGCGTCCCAATACCGACGGGTGTCCGCCCACGAGGATTACTGGGATTAGGTATTGCTGAGGACCGCGACGAATTACCACCCGGTTTGGGTGTCCCCGAACGAGTCGTGGCGGTCGTAGTCGCCTGCGCGGAGGTCAAGATGGAAGAGGCCGAAGAATCCGGTACACCGCCACTTGCTAGTGTCAGCGGTACTTGAGCTTGCGCCTTTGCTAGTTTCTTCAGTTCCTTCTGTTAAATGCGGAGATCCTGAGTCCATATCTATGATCAGGCCGAAACACAAGGATCCTAACCCGTTTTTTCCGATCTTCACGCGCCTGCGGTGATTCAGCAACCAAAGTGTTGATGTTCCACTGTACCACCAGTCAGATGTGCTTTGGAGACACGGCATGAAAAGCCATACGCTTTTGAGGCCTTCTAAGCTAACAGAGAATGCGTCTCGCTGCGTCCTCAAGTCAAACGGGGTGATGGCGATTTGTTGCTTTGGAGGAACTTGTATCATATCCAACAAATATGTATCTTTTTTCATGGAATGTTTTCCTAATCCAGAGGCATGAGACATTTATGGAAAGGTTAGACGACTCAGGAACGAGGACGACGCACCAGGAATACCCTTGATGAGCTGCCTGTAAGTATTCTTTGACTTCTTCTCGCCTTTTCCCTCCTCATCCTCGCCCTCTTGCGCTGCTCCAGGTGTTGCATTTGGCGGGAGCGAGAGTTCCTTCTCTTTGCCTTTGCCCTTGTCGAGGGTGCCGGCGGTGGGCGGTTGCTGACCTACGGGGAGGGCATACGGCCGCACGTACTTGTCATACGCTGGCAGAAGCTGGAATCTCGATATTAGATCCTGGGTGCTAGTTAGTAGTGGACGGGGCTGGGCTGTGCCTATGTGAGCAGAGCATGATAGACGGTGTCAGTTTTCCGCGAATGGGAACAAGTTGAGTGAGAGACCTGGTGGCAGGAGGTATATGGGGGGGAGCTCGGGCTGAGAGGAGGGGCCTGCGAGTGCATTGGTAGGTTGAAGGGAGTATGATGCGGGGTGCTGGTTGTCGTCTACCTCCATGTCGACAGTGGCGACAATGGCGGCACTCAGCAAGGGGTGGCGCCTTTGTTTTGCGTGCGGCGACAGAGAGTGAACCGCCCGCGTCGCGTGCGAAGCTCCGACATGTCATCCCCGCTGCGGAATTGGTGGACCGCGTTTCGGAGTTTGTATTCGGATGTTGTGCCTCCAAGCGGCGATTTCGGAGGCTGAATATCGGCCAAACGGGGCGGAGTGAGGCGCTTTGTGTATCTTATCTCGGACCATTTTGAGTCAGGACGCATTGCGGGAGCCACGAGCCCACGGCATACATAGGCTAAAGGCTGCCTCGCCGCATGCTCCTCGCCTCAACCCACAACGACCATGGCGGACGACTCAGCTTACCAGAGCAGCGACCCCCTCGGCACATCCACTATGTCTGTCTTCACTCCCTCCGTCTCCCGAGTTAGATCTCCAGGCAGCGGCGCTCATGCGCAGCGCGCGGTGCACG